ACTTATAGCTCCTTCTTTTCCAATTAAGTTATGCTTTGTGAAAATTTATATGCATGTAGTTACCCATTTACATGTAGATATTGAAATTCATTCATATATGTTAACTTTTAAAAATTGACTTGGAGATAGCTAGGCGGCGAACTAATACTCCAATGTGATCTGCAGGAACCATGTGCAATAAAAATGATTGTGACTTTAACTCGATATTTACACACGACACACTATCCATTAACAATCGTCACTTAGCTTCAATTCATAAGTCAAAAGAGTTTTAATTCAGGGGCCATGGAGAAGCTAGTATTCCCTTCCGATTGTTCACACCCAGCATTTGCTTCTCGTCATGATCAGGAAATAACGGAAAAAATCTGTCGGCAATGGTATTTAAATATTGGCCTAACATTTATTATGAAAAGTGTCAGCCAGCATATGACGACCATTTAATGACAGATTGTATTTGCTAACAATTAATGTCACTGTATCGACCAAAAATCTTTTGAAATAATGACTTGGATTAAACAACATTCCTTTCTTTATTTATTAAAAAATGATTGTAGTTACCTCCCCTTCTTGACTTCACCAAACCATACTAAATAAGCTAGGTTAAAGATAACTCTTTATCTCCAACATTCATGAGCTTCCTAGTGATTTGTTCCTGGCCTCAGTCAGGGATTTGCCCCTGACCTACCGTGGGCATAAAGGGGCGCCAGACCTCTGAAAATATATCTCCCTCTGTTCCAATACCAGCAAAAATTTTTATTCTGTCCCCTGCAACTATGTGCTGGATGACAATTGCTTCATGCTTTCCACAATTTATTCAGTAATACTATATGGATTTTATACACGGAAGAAAGAAAAAGAGGAGAAAATGTGTATGAGATTGTGTATGATAAAAATAACATCAGTTGGATCATTGACGATTTTTCTATAATCAAGATTCAAAAGATTTCTGTCCTTAAAATTCAAAGATATCTGTTATTCCTGTAAAACCGTACACCTAAAGTAGAAATATTGCACTTACTTTTAAATTCCCCCTCTCTGATTCTTGAAAAATAATAGTCTTTCAGTCGAACCTTTGAACATCGTTATCTGAATTTTTTATCAACTATTCACGAGGTATATTTTACGAGGGCTATTGAACTTTTATAACATATAACAACGCTTATCAGATAATGAAATCGAATAACAATCACGTGCACAATAGTGATATGCGGAAAGAAGAAGGTACAGTTTGGGTTTTATTGTGCCCTATTAATTGAATGTTCTTAAAAAGTTATGAAAGAACTATATGCGGTATATTGCATATATTTGCCCCCACAAAAGTCAAATTTTAAAAACTTCCTGAAATGTGCTGAATTCAAGAAATTGTTTGAGAAATATAAATTAACAGAAAATATTACAGTGTCAAAGCAGTGTATTCACAATTTTTGTTTTTATGACGTCACAAACTAGTCCGATTCTATATCCTATTTCAGAAAGACGACAAAATGGACAAAATTTCAACATTTTAGCTTAAACTTTATAGAGCGCAAGTTTGTTCAGGATTAATATTGACAAATTTCATTGATTTTATCATTCTACACATTATATCAAAATATTGATCCCGAACACACATGCGCTCGGTGACTTTTACTCAAAATATCGACAAAATATGTACATTTTTCTGTAAATTTCATTAAAAAAACTGAAATTTACGTCATGTTTGTGACGGCATTGCTTACATATGGCGTCATAACTTATGAAAATATTCAGTGCTTTGAAGTCAGCATATACTTCCCTGTTTAAGAACTAAATTAATATATCTCCATCAAAGTTTGATTTAGGGGGTGAGGGGGGCAAATATTGGTTATTACCGAATAAAGTTCTTTTAACAATAGTTGAATAGATGAATATGATAAATCAATAAAGAATAGGACATGAAGAAGGACCGTTCTAGAACTATGACGTCATTAAATGGATACATTTCAAAGCTTAATGCAGAATGCCACAGAATGACTCATTTCTGTGCTTATTTTAGTTTAGAATATAGTGTCTGCCACCGTCGCCCACTTCAAATATTGGATATATTATGTAAACTGAATATGTAAACTACTTTTAAAAATCACGTATTTCTAGATCTTTGTGGTCGACGGTGGCAGAGCATGTTTTATGAAAGAAAATTCTATTGAAAAATTGATGTCTTCTGCAACATTTTAAGAAAATACGGGAATTTAAAATGCACAAGTTAATGACGTCATAATAACCATTTAGGAGGTCATGTGAGAAAAACGATGTGTATTCTTAATGCATGGAATTCCTACGAATCAGAAAGAATGATTTTTAATTTCTTAATTCTTATATATAACACTTTCATTTTTTAGACAAATAGAGGGCTTCATTTGTATTGAAACTTTACCTTGTTCTTTGAATCAAATGCCATGGAGGGCTGAACATCCTCTACCATGTGCTTCTTTTCATGATCGATAAAGGGGAAATCCTTAAAAAATTAAGAGTTAAAATAATTGCTTACCAATTTTCATGACAACCGTCAGTAAAAATTCGACTTATTGATAGATTTTATTTTCAGTAGAGGTAATATGAATGACCATAGAATTTGATTATGTAGATCTTATACCTTTGATTCATCATCTTATCTTTCAGCATCATATATAGTCTCTGAAAATATTTCAATTAAGAACACCCTCTTGTGTATCGAATTAAATGGGAGACATAAACTTCAAATGCAAGGTAAAGTAGAGTTGAGTATGCCAGGACATCAACAATAGTTGGAACATATGGGATATTTTGCATAACGGGTTTTGCATCCCTTAATTAAGCTGCAGTATATCTCCATCTCCTGTATATGGTGTTTATACCTCTCACTTGATTCAATACACAAGAGCATGCTTTACGTATGAAAAATTTCTAAAACGCGACTATTATAGTTATTGCCAGTTGATTATTAAGTTGATGAAACAAGAATATCAGCAGTATTATTTATAGTCATCACTTCTATGTCTATATCTATGTCTTATTCTATATTTAAGCTCTATGGTTGATACAATAATCTTGTCAGCAAATACAATTTATCATTAAGTCTATTGCTGGCTGAAGTTTTTTTTTTTCAAGCTAATTGTGAGGTCATTATTTACAAACTGCACTGGGGGCAACACTACATATATCATGCTGCACTTCTGACATTGTATAACATTTTTCCAAACACTAGCCATGACCTAAACGTTGTGAAACAGAAATTGCTACATTTTATATCTTAAGCTGAAAATTTTGCATATTATGAAGAGTCTTCTCGCACGCAAATAAAAGTTGGTATATAATAGTTCATTATTAGAAACATGTTAAGTTGTCATCGTTCTTACAAAATAAGTATTGATTCTAAGTTATTGGACACACAAGTCATAGAGAGGTAACAAAATATGTCAATTTTCTTATTATCATGACAATTTTCATAATTTCAAATCAATTTTGTTTTAGAAAACATAGAACACAGGCTTGTCTTTCATTCTTATTTATAAATTTCATGCACTAGTGTCATCAAGCGCGTGCTCTGTTTCTGAATTGAAAAGTGTCTTATAAACGAAATTCAGCATTTAATAAGGAAATTCGGTAAAATGTCTAACTTTATTACCCTCGTATTGCCTTTGTGATGCTGGATTCAAAACAAGCAACATTTATATATCTTATCTGTAAAAGATTACATTTTAACTGCATGTGTTTTGATTTTTTTCATGAAACAAGGGGCCAAAATCGGCCGTTACCATACCTTGTTCTTTATTCCAATTACCTTTAGTTTTAGTGTAGGATGAAAAATATCGATCTGGTAGCTTTTAGTTCACCCACATGCCGCCTCCATGCAGCTATATTATGTCATAAACTGCTAGATAACATCGTAAATTGTGTCAGATTTGATAAACTTTGGTCAAAACATTTTTTTAATTTTTTAAAATAGCCTTGTATCAAAGTACAGAAGTTAAGGTCAGACAATACGTTCCCCAAATTTCTGTTTTGTATATCTTCCTAATATATTTTTAAAAAATACAAAATTTTAATTATTTTATTATTTCTATACCTGTATCTAATTGTTTTTGAAAATTTTAAACACTAAAAATGGGATTTTGGCATACTAATTTTTTCCATAAAGGATATATAAGAAATGCCATCATCTGGTATCTCGCACAAATGCCTGGTAAGGTACCTCATTTTTTTGTGAGTAAACATGTTAAAGTAGTATTTGTTCAATGTCGAAGTCTTGGATAAAATTATATATTATTGAGGAACGTCTCATCTGTCCTTAAGTGTTATCCAATGAAGCTAATAGAAAGTTGTCAAAATGTGACAGCGAAAAACCAACTTACCAGTATTGTCAGTTCGTGCTCAATAATGTGTGCAGAATTTTTTTTTTAAAAATTGAACCGATCAGGTAAAACGCAACAATAAAATAACCTAACTGGTGGTCTCTTAAGAAGAACCTCGTTGTGATTGAATAACAAGAATATTAATGCAATTTCAATTTATTAAACAAATTTTTAAAGAAAATATAAATATTTTTTTTCAATTGTAAACAATGCAACTATGTACAGACCCCTTTACACAAGAATTATAATAAAATATGATGAATCAAACTTCACAATAATTCTACACTATCTGTTAAGGACCCTCTAAACACCAAAGGGAAAGATTTTTTGGACATTGAGAAATTCATATAGTGTGAAAAAGCATAAATATTGAGCTTATCTATCATATTTTCAACATAGGGTAGCTTGTATTAACCACCAGGAAAATGTTCAAGGACAATGGAGTGCTGATGAACAAATGTTTTGAATGTTGATTTGTTGACAAATCAATGAATAAACTGTACATTTCAATATATTTTATTCTTGATCAAAGGGCAGATTACTCTATTTGTATAAAAATACCACTAATTCAGAACTCTTTAGTGCGCAGTGTATAGAGGGCTCTTCAAAAAATTCCGAGAAAAGTTTTCTTTTTCTTTTCTAGACATCTATTCACGTAAGAGAAGTTAAACACCTAGATTCAAATTCTCTCTTCACTTTAGACCACCCAAAGTATGCTTGCAGAACTTTTACCGCAACAAGCTTAGTGGAACTAGCGAAATTTTCGTGGTTTTCAAAAATAAAATCTACCATGTCCTCTAGGGTAAATTTAACAAATCGTAAAGCTCGATACTTAAATTTGTCTTTAGGACCACTAGAGAAACGATCTTTTAAATTATCTGCACTGATTCTGTGTTCAGGCTTAATTCTTGTATCTGTAAGGTCAACGAATCCACAGAGTCCCCACTCGTGGGTATCGGTTTTCAGATAGATTGTTGTCAGACAGACTGCCTCTGCTTCTGAATCAGACAGTTCGAGGCCAAGTTCTTCACGCAGACCACGGATCGCAGTATTGACCAGATTTACTCTTTTCAACTCGCCTTCATCATTGTCTTCTATATCTTCGTTTTCCTTATCTCCTCCGTTTTCATCTTCTTTTTCTTCTGTTTTGTTTTCTTCGTTTATTTCTTGAATATCCAGGGTAGATACACTTTTAACAGCTCCACACGTAAAAGCTCCCGGAGCTGGCATCCCTGCACCCTTTGCACGCTGGGGGAAAACGAAATACTGAGGATTTCCTGCACCTTCGTTCGTCAAAATGGCAACATGTAGTCCAAATGTATTGCTGAAGTAGGGATTAACTTCTGATTTATTTGGAATGAATTCTCGCTTCTCCTCATCGCTCATACTCATCCAGATGTCTCGCATTGCTCTGTGGTGTATATATTCCGATTGTTTAAAAATCATTTTGACTCTTTGTCGCTTCCCTTCTTCGTCGGGACGCGAAAATGTTAGACTTTTCAATGCCACTGTCGGATTGTTATCAATAATTTTTTTATTGGCTTGCCTTCTGAGTTTACGGTAATTTTCTATGTATTTTTCCTCTTTGTCCCAGTCTATGAATATGTCCCTATTGGGACGTTCCCCGATTCTGATTGGACAGATCAAGTCGTGATGCTTATATCCGTTTGGTCGTTCTTTAGATTCAAAATACCCCATTTGGCTTGAATCTTCATCAGTGCAGGAATCAGCTACAAATATATCTGTTTTATCCAGGAATCCACAAGAAAAGAGCTCGCTTTCGTATTCTTCCAAATAATACGGGTTTTTTTCTCTGTAGAATCTGTTGGTGACATCCACGGCATTGGGTCTACCTTCTGGTCTCTCATTCGTGCATTCTTTGATGAATTTTCCTATAACGTCTTTTTGATCGGTTATATATATTTCTTGAATGTGTGATGTGTGTGGAAGTACTTGATCTAATAACTCCTCTGTTTCAAATTCAGCGAAAGGTTGCACACCGGAAATTATGAAGTACATTATGAGACCGAAAGAGTAAATATCGCCCTTCTTGAAAGCAATTAGATCGTAGTAAATCTCATCATTTTCTAAGGATGGTCGAAATTCTGGGGGTCCCCACCTTATATCGAAGAAGACTTCTGTAGAATTTGCATCACTATCAGTCATCATCGATTCGCACTTTTTGTGATGGTTGTCGAATCGGTTATCCTGCAATGCTAAGTTAAAGCCTGTAATTTTGATAATGAAATTGTTCACATATCCCTGTATCAATATGTTGTGCGGTATCATGTTTCTGTGCGCAATCCCCTCTGAATGTAAGTAGCATACTGCGCTGGCAATCTGCTTCCCGATGTCCCAAGCCTTTTTAAGAGACAACCCCTGTGTCTCGTGGCTCTCTCGTTGCATTATGTATCGGAATAGGTTTGTTGGAATGAACTCCATAACAAAGAACATGCATTTTCTGTTTGGTTCCTTAAATAAATCCCTCAAGTCATCCTCTTCACTTTCTTCCATCAAACACTTTTCTAGCTCCTCCTTTGAATGGATGTATCCCATTCCTCTATATGCAATGATATTTTCGTGGCTAAGATATCGCAAAAGCTTATATTCATAAACCTCGTTTTCTGCTTGTTTCTTCAAAACTTTTATTGCCACCTGGGACGATTTTTTCCACGTTGATTTATATACCCTCCCAAAATTTCCTGCACCGACCTTTATCCATGGTATTTCTAGGTCTGTTAGATGAACTTCGGATAAAGTATGTAGGTTCTTTACCTTTTCTTTGATGGATTTCAAAATCTTCATAGACTCTTTTAACTCTGGAATACTTTCTCCATGATCCTTGCATATTTTACTCACTATTTTGAGCATTTCGTCTATGTCTTGATTAACATTTGTGTCTTTGCGTTCCTCTTCCATTCTGTACACCTTAAAGGAGAATAAACGATTTAATTTTCAAAAACATAGCACAACGTCTTTACTTGTAAATTTGCAATCAAATTCACTCAGAAATCGAAGCTGAATCCCCTTCCTATTAAACTTTCCTTGGAATTATTGGACTCATTCTAATACTTTCGGAAACGATAAGTGCAATTTATACGAAAGCTTCACTTAAGTTTGCCTCTGAAAATATGTCTAAGTATTGCCCTCCGTCCCTTGCTCTAGCATCGAAAATGTATGGGTTCGTCCCGGTACTATGTGTGAATGGTCAAACCTTGAGGCTTGCAACATTGAATTTTGTAGATACATGTACAATGTAAATGTATGTACTACTAGTATGTAAATTTCCAGACGTGGAAGAGAGAAAGAAAGATAGGTGTGTATGAATGTGTACTGTAAAATCACATATTTTCGTGGGGTCAAATTTTCGAGGTTTGAGGAAAAATTATTGGTTTGTGCCCAAATTGTGGGGATTTTATTTCGTGGTTGGAAAAATTCTTGTAGTAATACATGTGTAATTTTACATTTCAAGGTAGTCATAAATTCGTGGGTCTCTTCGTACCTCGAAAACAACGAAAATTAAACCACAACGAAAATTATTGATGTTTAATGACTCTTACATGTAGATACACTCGTAAGTAAAATACATAGAATGTAATAAATAAAAATTCAATGGCCTTCGATCTTTTATGCAATTAAATCCTACTTTTGTTATAGAAATATAACACTTACTTTACGGTACTCCTACTTTCACTCTTGGAAAATATCTAGTCTTCGTTTGCACCTTGGAACATTGATATCTGATTTTTTTATCAATCATACAACAGGTGTATTTAAAACAATATGCAGCCCTTATCTGATAACAATATTGACAACAAGGATCTAGGTAAAAAAAAAGTTTAAGATATGAGTTATGATATTTTTCAGAGGCACGTCAATTTAAAAAAAAAACTGTAAAATTTTTTTAAACTTCACTAAATTCGAATATAATTTCTTGCTTTACCAGAGATCGTTTTTTTTTCTTGGGAAGGGACCATGCCACATGTACATTGTATATACAGGGTCATTTTTGAAAGAGCCGGGGAATCTGCATGGACCTTCCACTGCATCCCTGCATGCATGTTATATTGTTTTCCTTTCCATGCTGCTTTTTACAAAGAGATTATCTTTGCTAACCTCTGGATGCTATATCAGTGTCTTTTATATTTTTAATGAATTAAAAAAAAGCATTGTATTAGGTAATTTAAATCTGTTTATTTATTTATTTACTTAAGATAGTGTTTTGATAGTGTTGTAAGTAAACAGACTCCTCAGTCACGTGTCAAACATCAACTATAAATAGTTCCGTATCCGAAAAGGGTTACATTTAGAAATCAAAATTCAAAATGATACCTCTTCGTAAAATTTTGAGAATATTTTTATGACGGCCGGATTATATATGCGATTGGTATGTTTTGGTTTGTTTTAATGATTCGATTATTTTTGTTTGTTGTTGTAATTGTTGTCTTCATTAATCACGAAAGATATTCATATATATATATATATATATATATATATATATATATATATATATATATATTATATATATATATATATATATATATATATATATATATATATATATATGTATATATATTAGAAGTACTTGTTTTTCTATTAAATGTGCTTGAAATCTGTCCTGTTATTAATACATGTATATGTACACTTTTTTGAAGATGAACAACATTCTGAAAATTTACTTCTGGTAGAATTAAGCACTGTCTCTACTGGTATGAAGAAGGATATTTTTATTGTACATACACTAATGTAGACAAAAGATATACAACTGTATAATCAAGTTCGTGCATATCATTTTAACTAAATTTTTTGTTGTTGTTTTTTTTAATTCATTTTTTTTTTAAATATGAAATGAGGCAGTAGCATGGCGAACGTTCGGACAATAATTTGAATATAGTGTCATTTTGTAATTTTTGTATTCACTACCACCCAGTAAAAAAAAAAAATACTATGACAATAGGTACATATACTGTAATGTGTTATCTATTGTGTGTGTGTGTGTGTGTGTGTGTGAAGGGGAGGGGGTCATTCAAAGAATAAAATCTGAACATGACGTTCAGTTATACCTTGGAAACGGTTCGGTTCTTGCTGTAGTTTTTCCACCAAAAAAATCCCATTAATTTGAAAAAATTAAAAAGCACATTTTTTTTTATACAATTTTCAGTATAATTTATATAGCTAGTGTAGTACATGTAAATATAGTCAATAACTTTTCTTATGTGTGAATATAGGGAAAGGGGGTATATGACACTGAAATACGTACATGTACATGATCAGGTACTCGTACATTTGTAATGAAACAATTGTTCAAAAGGAACCCCAGATTTTGCTTTTAAGTTCATATATATATATATATATATATATATATATATATATATATATATATATATATATATATATATATATATATATATATATATATATATATACACGAAATGACGACTGGCATGAACGGTTATTCACATATATTCATCGTGTAAATATTATTTTATTTTGTCTAGACATCTTTATCAAATGGGTGATAAACGAATTATTATGGAACAGCGTTTAAGTGTTCATTTTATTTTTAATGTACTTGCAATAAGGCAGATTAACTATGGACTTTGTGATTTTTTTTAAGCGGTATATATATATATATATATATATATATATATATATATATATATATATATATATATATATATATATATATATATATATGCACTATAAGTCTATAATACTTTGTGCAAATTATGCCAAATGGTCGAACTGCGTACATTATTTTACATTTGAAAAAATATCTTGAGTTAAATTTCAGATAAATTTTCGTTAAAATTAAATAAAATCATATAAATAAGGATATTATTTAGTATGGCGATTAGGCGCATCCTTGGATATCAAGTTTCTTTGTAAGTGTGTGTGTGTGTGTGTGTGTGTCCATACGCGGTCCAACTCCAAAAGTATAAATTACTGAAACGGGGTGTACATTGTACTTATTTACTGTACCTTTTCTTTCGAATGATTATAAGAGTAAAAATGGAAATTCTTGATATATTAAGAATACTATAGTATAAAGATAATAGTAAATATTAATTTTTTTCATACATTTTCCCCAGAACCAGTAAGTATTAGTAATGAAAAAGATGTTCTCAAAAACCCTGCAAACGACATAAAAATCTGTGAAAATGGGCATAAAAACTCAAAGTACTGTTCGATCACGGGTGACCTTGAAGAAACCGGTTTAACAAATTCGTATATGCGGTAATATATTATAATATAAAAACAATGAACAATATAATATATATATTAAATATTAAGTATATCACTAGTCATTATAGAAATATATTGAAATGATTACCAAATGTGGACTTTTACGATGTTGTTGACATTTATGTAGCATCAACTTATTCGTCAGTACGCTGATTTGATTTGAACAATTTTAAAAAATTGATCGTATGCAGAATTTACCCACAGCTAGGCGCTTGACGTTTTTAACCTATCTCATCAAAAATTAAACAAAAACCTATACTCTAATAATATAGGATTGTTTTTTTTTTTTGTGAAGAGATTGGTTAAAAAAGTCAAGCGTTTGTGAAACAAATAATTAAAAGTTGGCGATTTTAAAAAAAATATGGTCAGCTCGTTCGTCTAAATATCTTCATGGTTTCTTTATACAAACGATAATTAAAAAAATATACTGTGTTCTTTCGAAAAACTCTATAGCAAAAATGGAAATTCTTTAATGTAAAGATAAAAACATATTTTATTTTTTTTACACTGTTCCCAGGGCTATGGTTGTAAGGTATTATAGAGATAGTTTCAAAAGCCTAAAACGATAAAAAGTTTTTGATTTCATATTACAGCATTAATATTATGGATCGTGAAGAAACAATATTGGTCTCCCGATTCGAAGTACTCAGTTCATTCTAGAAACTTAGAATTTAGTAAATGCGGGAAAATGCTGTTGACATTTCTTACCATCAAAATTTCAACTGATTTGATTTGAAAAATTTTAAATTTGATTGACGGTATGAAAAACATCATATGCAACATATTGGATTAAAAAAAATTTTTCATACTTCAAAAAAATGTGCTCGAAAGTAAAAGAGGTTTTGAGTCGGGCCGTTTTTAGTCAGTCGGTCGGAAGAGGGCAACCAATTTTTTTTAACATGTTTAAGATGGCCTCAGATTACTTTGCACATATTTTTTTTTTAAATTTTATTTGCGAGTGCTTTTGAATTTCATATAATTCCCCTACCTACCAATCCATTTATTTAAAATCCTGAGTCGGGAGAGGGCAAGCGATCTTTTTTTTTTTTTAAATACAGCCCCCCCTCCTTTTTCCAAAGAAAAAGGGAAGATAACTCGCTATAAACATGGAGGAGGCCGAGAGGATATTTACAGAAGCAAAATCTTCTGAATCAAACTCCAATAATGACAGGGCGATAGAGTTGTATACGGAATTTATAAAACAAGTAGAATCTGCTCCAAATCCAAATCTTCTGTGAGTTGACAATGACACTAATTATTTCACGATTCAAAACGGTTTAATGAAAGCAGCTCGAATTTCCTCTTTCTGTTTCCAGGTTTCTATGATTTAGGTCTATTATACGTCCTTGCTATGATCTATGCTATTGTCATTGGCTTAAAAATATAAGAAAATATAGAAAATAGTACTGGGTAGAAAACCATTAAATTATTGTTTCTTTCTTTTTTACGTTCCTGATTCGATCACAAATAGTTGATAGATCTAAACATTTATGATTTTTTTGTAGGGGTGAGAAGCTGGCCTTAGCTTACAATAACAGAGGATTTCTAAAATACAGGAGAGTCGATTTTGAGGGAGCGATCCTTGACTACACAAAGAGCGTAAATGTTAATCCAAAGTCCTGCATAACTTTCTATAACCGAGGAACTGTTTTATATAGATTAAGTAAGAGTTGTTCTCTTCTGGTGAAACTGAAAGGATCTTTGTGAACATTGTTTTATTCAATGATGTAAATTGAACTTTTTAAAATACTTCTTTTGATTTACATTTCTTTCAGGCTCTTGGACAATCATTAACAATTATGTGTTTGCCAATACCAGAGTATGCAACATATTTTCCTTGTCTACGAGTGTATTATTTGTTTTAATTTAAATTTGTATCTTTTTTTAGGTAAATTTGATGAAGCAATATCAGACATGAAGATGGCACTAAATTTAGATCCAAGCTTTGAGCCTGCACAAACAGGTCTGCATTTTGCTGAGCAGGACAGAGAAAACAAAATCAAAAGAGGGTGGTGAGGCATATGGATGGCCGTATGTTGAATGGGTTCATGCAACAGGCTCAGTTGGACATGCCCTTGTGCTATGTGGAATAAAAATTTACTTATTTATCTTAACAGACAGTTATTCAAGTTGTACAGCAAAACTTGGTTAAAACGAAGTCACAGGGACCTATAGAACTACTTCACTATATCCATAATTCGTTATAACCGTATAAAAAATTCATTCAATTTGTATAGCTGAGGATCCAAGATGACTTTGCTTTATCCATAAATTTGCAATTATAATCCATGTTCGTTCTAAACGAGTTTTGCTGTAATTGTATATCACAAATATACTCTCAGTTTCTGAATGATGACTTGATAAATATAACATGCATGTCAAATACTGTATAGCGGGGTTTTTTTTGGTGGATGTGAAATTTGGCATTTTGCCTGCTCGAAAGTATGCCAATAATTTTGGAATAATTTAGTTTAGCAGTCACAAGGTTTCATGCAGTTCTTTGCAGATAAGAATTGAGAATATATTAGCAATTAAAATTTTAGCGGGCTACTCTTAAATTGCCAAAATAAGCCAAAATTAGCCCCCTGCTAAAATAACCCACTGTACAGTAAATAAAGGTTATACAGAATAAAAGAAAATACACTGTAAAAGAAATTTTGTGCCATTAGGATTCAAATAGTTTGAAGTGGACATTTATTGAAGTGCCTGGACTCTATCAAGGCTTGAATTGCTGAAGGTTATTCACAAATATCAGATTGTCTACTGCTATTTTCAACATTCTGAGTGGCTGTTTAAGATTTTTTTCATTATAACTGTCAGTCTGGGCCCAAGGCCATAAACAGAAAACAGAGTTATGTAAATTTATAAATTATAAAATTGTCATCACATGTTTGAATTTTAAATGTTACACAATGTTTTGAGCATGTGTTAAATAAAACTGAAGATTATTAAAAAATAAAATTTTGACTGACAAGTCTGTTCTTAATTTATGGTTACTGGGCCTGGCACTCCATTCTGTAATGCTTTTGACATAGGCAGCAATGTTCCTTTGAACCCTATCTTGTTTACCTGTAACCTTTACATAGTATGCAAGTCCAATTTCTTGAGAGAAGTGAAACCTGTCTACTCTAACAAGGGAGACAAATTTTGTGTTGGAATGGACATGGTATGGATTGTACTGGCTAAGCACTAATATCTGTCAGTAAAACTGGAATAAGAGCTTTGCGTAAAAAAATATTGTGAATAAATTCCCGTGTACATGTAAACTGTCCTTGTGACAGATTAGATAGTTTTCACTGTAATTCTAAATTTGGATGCAAACTCTGTTTACATTAACACATTTAGAATATAACAAAAAATCTCTATAACTTAATATTTTAATATTCAAATAAAGGGATGCAATGAAAGTTACAACAATGTTATGTTTGCTGTCATAATCATGAAATGAATGGTCAACCATTTGAACATCTCTCACAAATCTTCCATACAGCTGATTGGCTGATAAAAATGAAATCCTAACACACACTGGTAGAGAGTGGCCCTCTCACCTGGCATCAAAAACAATCACTGAATTTGGTTAAGGAAAAGAAAACATTCTGTTGTCATGTATATATAAGTATTTGTATTATCGCCCTTCTCCTATCCTCTCTGAGCCAGCTGGCACAATGGAGCCATGGTATAATAAATGTTCACAAATAAATGATGTGGCAACTTTGCATTGTTTTACACATGGATATAAACTAGAAAACTTAGAATGCTTCTGATATATGTGCATTGTGATAGAATTATTTTCTAGGTAAATGAGAGCAATTTTCAATTGAATATGATAAACTCATTGAATTTCTCCCCTAATTTTAAAGAATAACAATATGGAAAGATATGTGTTCAAATTTTAAGAGAATCTTTGGTTTGGAATCACAAAATATTCATGACCTTACTTCCAAAAGGACTGATTAATGTGATTAATATTTAAAATTATCCTGGATGTTATTTATTTATTTTATTAAGGTTATGGACATTAAAATCATCCTAATAAACAATGACTTCCTTTGAGAAAATGCATAAAAAGGTTGTAATATATCTTGGAAATATCCATCATAGAAAAATAAATGGTTTAAAGTTTTTATATGACCAAATTATGATTTGTGATAAGGATACTTCTTTTGGTTCTCTTTTTATACATGATTCTGTAACCACACTCCCGGCATCTGATGGGATCTCGAGCTTTGATCTCATTTTCTTGGTGACACTCTGCAAAATGACAAAATCAACACTTTAAAACTCAAGCTAAAAGCAGCATAATGTACTCATCTGCCAAAATTACCTCAGATTCCATATCAAACTTAACAATGCGAAGAAAATTTGAGTGTAGCAGGAAATAAAGATATGTCTGAACACAGATTTCAATAGAATTAATGCTGTATTTACACAATAACCAAATCACTTTGAAATCGAACCCAACTGAGCCTGTGTTAGGATTACCTCCACATATATAGATCATGGTCTGTTGTTTTCTAGCATCTGATGTTTCTCTGGAATCCTTTGTTTGCTCCATGACCCTACAAAAATGAATTTTAATATTTACATGACGTAGCAATATTTATTTCCACAAATTTCAAAATTACTGTTTTTATATTCATACTTTAAATAACTTTATACTGTTACATCCATTTTGTAACCGGCTCTTACAGTACCTGTACTAAATTTTTAAGTCAAATTATCAACTAAGGAAAAAACATTTGCTTTACTGATTAAATAAAAAAAATCATTGCAAATTTGCTACATGTCTTATTTTCCTGTTTCCCAACAGATTTGATTCAAACTATTCAGGTATATAAAACAATGTTTTTGAAACATTTATGTGTGTGGGGGCTAACTTTAACATAGCTCATATACCCAAGAAGTTTGAAGTGATTCTTTTTGGTGAAATGAAGAATGTAAATAAAAAATTGTAACATGGATGTTTGGGAATGGTGATCAAAAGAGCCTATTGCCTAATTTGGCATAATATAAATAACAAAAACCGAGAGTCAGGCATCAGGAGGACTAAATTTTCTGCTTTCCGTTGCCTAAGTTTACAAACAATAAAAAAAAGAAATATCAATATCATTATGGGCAGGCAACCAGTACTAGTATAAAGGTCCCTGATATGGGGAACAAAATAGGCTTTCTTTGCAAGCCAATATATCGAATAGTGAAAGAGTTAAAACATAGACGTTTAATTAGTTTGACGGTTCATATAAAATTTTTCAATACCGCAGTAGGACAATGATGATTCAGCATGTAGCATCAATGCCATTTTAGTATGATATTTTGAGAAGTCCTGTGAGATGACTTGAAATTTCTTGCTGTAGGGCAATACACCTGTGAAATGACACGTTCAGCTTAGACAATACACTTAGTGAAGAATTTGTAATTTTACCTTTCTATAAAATAAATATCTTGTTATCAGATCTAGGGTATTAAAGTTTTAATCTTCTCCAGTTGAAACCTGAGAAGCCATGTGAATATACACAGGAAGTGACGTATGTACAATTCGTTGTAAACATTCTAAACTTCCGTTTGCCTCTTTTTCATTCAGTAGTATGAAAAGTCAAGAGGAGTTCCGGCAATGTTTTGATTGGTCAACGTGGTTTTGGCGAATCATTTGAAACGTTGACTTTGTGTTGTACACTACAACTGTTCAAGTTGAAGGAGAAAACTTATTGCAGAAGAGAAATATAAAAAAAAAACACTATCTAAAACCAAGAAGAAGGAAACGATTTTGAAATGCAGAACTAATCAATGGCAACGGTAAGAATTTCATTCATAAACAATGTTTATTTTAACAAGGAAGGCTTCCCGCCTGACCAAAAAGGATGTCATAATTGGATTTAATTATTTTTAAGTTTTGATACGATTGTTTTATTTAAACTGTATTAGTTTGTTAAATTAATGACTGTAGTATTGTTTTCTCGTTGTATTTGTATAAACGAGGTAAAAGTCAAATTTTTCTAATGATTTAGATCAATAGATCACAGACCCTTAGGCTTAGTGTCTGCGCGCCATCCTGATTATTGTGACGCGTGACATAACACATGGAGGGCGACAGATAATTAATTTTCTGAGAAACAAATTTCTCATTCTATCAACATGATCAATCAATGTAAATTTGATTTTTTTTCCCCCTTGGTTTCAATAATTTTAACACTGAAAAGTGCTCAAAACCAAAACTACAAAAACATATTTTTAAAATATGTTTTTTTTTTTAAATATTGACCTTGCATTATATTTTATACAAGGTATAAATACTTTGATAAAATGGTCTCGAACTATAGAAATGTAAAGAAATAAGTAAGCCAAATTGAAACAAACAGGGAGTTTTGGAAACTAGAAATGGGGGGGGGGGGGTTAATAGAGTCATTTTTTTTTTATTTCCAAACAAAACCTAGTCCAACATTTTTGATGATTTCTGGGCCTTTTGATGATTCTGATGATCTTTTAAGTGCTATGAAAATGTGTCAAATATTATAATATCAAAATTGTAAAAAAAAAAAAAAAAAAAAAAAAAAAAAAAAAAACCTAGAAAATATTGAATATTTTGGATTTAATAAAACCCTGATACAAACAAGTCCATTCATAAAACTTGCATACATATGATTATGCATCAGTGAATTTTATTAAACCCCGGCTTGAAAAGCGTGAGGGTATATAGCAATGGGGATGTCTGTCTGTTCTTCTTTCCCCTAGCTGTACGTCCCTCCATCTGTTTAATGTGCTTTGGGGTATCCATCTTATATCCGCAACTTCTCTTATACCACTAAAATGTAATTTGATGTGACTTTCATTCACAGAATCTTTATTATATAATGCCATTGTGACCTCCTATTTTACTTTTTGATCCGACACATATTTTGGGTTTCCCATAGCAAAACATGAACACTGCCATTTAATATATTCATATGTGAGGCGGGGGGTATCATTAAGTGAGCTCATTGCTCACAGTACCTCTAGTTTTTGTTGGTGAACTCTATTTGGATCAGTTGTCCAACACTGGTTGTAGTGACAAGGAGATTTCTCATGTTTCTTATTCCTCCTCATTTCCAAGAATAAATAACTTCATCATGCCTTGGTTTTTGGTTAATTGATAACAACCCCCACCCCAGCCTGGAGCCCCCCCCCAAAAATGGATGAAGGGATATTAATCACTTGGTGTAACTAATCAATATTTTAGGCAAAATATTCTTACATTCATACAGGAAAAAAGCTAAATATTGGTATGTAATTAATGCAATTACCCAAGTATGAGTTTAATTGGCTCTTGGTCCTTATTCTTACCAAATTTTTAAATCAGATTCAGTACTGATTCAGAAATAGTTATACATGAATATTACATGTACCTGGTATAATTGTATTGGAATAATTGGAAAGAAAATAACAGGCCCAAAGACAATACATTGACTATAAGTTACAAATATTTTGGGGAAGTTATAAATAGAAACCAAAATAGGAGAGTGAATTTTAAGCGCTTTGAATTTTAAAACAATTAATTCAGTGAACATAGTTCACTTTTATGTGTTAAAAGCTTATTTATATTTGTTTGCATTCAAAATTCAACCTGAGAGAAAACAATAATCAATAAACACTAGAAACTAATTATCAAATCAGTTATACTATTATATGTAAGTTTAAATTTTAATTCAATTACGTAGTTAATAAGTAATTCAAACAGTTTACTGTACAGTCAATTAATTAACACTTATAAGTACAAAAGTAATTTGGATAACAGTTAAATTCACAAGCTGTGAAATGCACTGTAAAAATAATAACCTCCCCGAGTGTGTGAAACCATTGTGGTTGGTCCCAGCTGATAGGAGAGGGTGTGACAGAACTGGAAGTTTTGACTCCAAGCTGATCTCTTTGATCTTAAGAAAACACTTCATTAGAAGTTATTTAATCTATCTAATAATGCAGTAATTCTTGCTTCTAAACAGTCAGTTTATGGCCTGAGGTATTATCTTTGATTTTGATTATGTCGAAAGTGTAATTAAACAATTATCTCGTAAAATTTAACAATCCTGAAATTTTGCCCTCTGGTTATGAATTTTGCAGGTTCAAAAAATAAACTAAGAAAATCTAGATTTAATAAGATTTTGGTAAGTCAAGTGATTGCCTTAGAGAATATTAGAAAATACTAAATTATTCATAATTTATTATGTTCACAATCTAATCATTAAGCAATAATTCCTTATTTTGGTTAAGTTTTGTAATGCATGCATACATGCTATTAAACATGTTAAAGCCAATAAAGGAGTAAGCTTTAGAAGACAATTTTCTGGATGCATGTTAAGTTTGTATATACATGTACATGTAAAGAAATTCATATTAACTCTGAAGATAACTTTCAAATTATTGTAAAATTAACAAAATAAATCATTTTGCAGATGGATGATACAATGCAGCAGAAACTCGAGAATTTCCCAGAGTTTGGAGTTTTCCAGGAGAAAGGCAGGGCTTTCAGCACCAGTACCCCCCTAGTCCACAATAAACTTAGTGATTCCCTCCCTCCTCGATCCCTCTCCACCAGTGCCTGGTCCCCCAATGACAGTGGGTATGCTGACTCTATATCTAGTGATGACACTTGTCAAGTGACTCCCAACGCAAGCAAGGAAAGTTTTACACAGTTCCGAACCAATTTGGACCTTAGTCCAAGTCCTCCACAGATCTCTCAGAAACGTAGTGTGTCACAAACTGACAAATTTGTGCCAAGGTTTTCATTAGGTTTTCATACCCTGGATTATGAAATTCCAGAGGAGGAACTGGTGTTTGAGAAATTCTCTCCGAACAAGAGTCCGATTCCACGATACAGTCTAGAGGATGAAGAAATGTGTTCAGAGGAAACAGAGGCCAGCGCCGCAGCTTCCCAGGCATTAGACTCTGAGTTAACTAAGACATTTGATGCTGTGTTACAGCAGTGTATGCCCAAGGTACCAGACAGGATGATCGGGAGAAAGATGGGACTGGAGCGGATGGACCTGGTCAGTGAGCTGAGTGACCGAGGGATGGTGGTCATCCTGGAGAAGATTGCTAGCTATCTACAGGCCACAGATTTACGAAGGTTTGTTGAGTTTCTATATGAAGTACACTGGCACTTTTCTATAAGAGCAAAACACCCATTATAGTTTAAGACTTAAAACATCTTATTTAAATAGAAAGACTCTTATAACTTTATCTGTTTAGCCTTTAGTTTAGTGGGTCCCTCCCTGATGTGACCCCTGCCCTGACTGTCACTTCTCTAGATTGAAATTCAATACTTGTGAGTCTAAGACAACTTTGACAAATGATTAATTTAGTCCAAAATATCAGATTAAACTCAATTAAAGCTATTTTCTGAACTTTTATTATGAAGAAAAAAAAATACTGAAACTCTTTAATTTCTGAAAAGTAAAAAGAAAAGTATTTTAAAGTTTAAAATCAATACTAAAAATTCTCTGAAAGGTTACAAACACGTACCAAGCTCTCACATAATTATATTTCAAAATGGAAACTTGTATAATACATTTATCATGAATGCATGAATAAAATAAGACCCTCATTATTTTATTGATGTGTTTAGAAGAATTAGAAGAACCATTGAAATCAGCTTCTGATGTGGATAAATAAATGTGGTGGCAACATTAATGTTAATCCTTTGTTTGTTTAAAAATCACATATTCCTCCCAAATATTTGCTGGACTTATTGACATAATACCTTTGCGACTGAATACCTGTCATTGTGACATGGAGTAGTGTGTGTTGATTACCGGCCGGGGATTCTGTTGTGCCTGATCAGGCCTGAGAGGATTATCCCCTCGCTAGGCCCTGATGTTTGGACTGATATTGGTCAGTCATGACCTCACACACATACGTACAAATACACTGACACTGGACAAAGCCATTATTACATTACATGATTTGTAGTTCTGCTAATCCCAACCCTCACACACTTAACTGTAAATATACATCCCCAGGGTGTGAAACAAACACCCTGGCTCACTGGACCCTGGTCAGGCTAATGGTCTAACAGTAAACCTGTGCCCTACAGTGTTCACACAGTGGTTCTAGATGTTGTGTTTTTACCTGGCATTGATGGCCCTGTCAATGCCAAATCAATATAAAGTTGCTGCCACACTCCTATTGATGAGGCTTCTGCTAATGATCCAATCACTTCATCATGTCAAGTTTGGTATAAAACTGCTCCATTAGCCAGTATGTCCTCAGTTAGTTCATGGGCTTCAAATAAGAAACATATCCAGTGGTGATTAATTTCTACAGTACTGTATCTTTTTCTATAACTATTTCAGAATGTGTAGGGTTAGTAGGAAATGGACGTCAGTGTGCAGTAAATGGACCATCCAAAAACAGCGAAGACCAAGGTCACTGAAGCGTGTAGACAAGGTATTTAATAATTTATTCTACCCAGGAATGTTGAAATAAAAAATATATTTTCAAAACTTCAAAGAAATTGATCAAGATAACTGACTGGCTTCTTTTATTTCATAGGAGAATGTGAGGCACAAGGTCCCAGAAGAACTTGACACTGCCCGGAAAGGTCTGACTGTGGGAGAGACAACAACATTATGTACGATCCAAGCTATACAAGAAAGGGTACCCCCGCTCTCCTCCATAGGCACACAGAAGGACTTGTTTGTACAGGTAAATAACATTTGTGATTTCAATAATCTTAAATTCATCTATTTATCTTTAAAATTTCATTTCATTTAACTTCTACCAACTATTCTTATTTGACAGATGTACATTTTGCATAGCAAAATCAACCGTTCTAATCTTATCCTTACCATTTCAGACAGCACAGTCACTGAAGAATGAGGAGAAAATGACCAAGTGTCCCATGTGCCAGCAGGCCGCTATAGTGTACCCAGTCCAGGAGAGGGGAATGTGCCAATCAGAGAAGTGTCAGTTTGACTATTGCGTAAAGTGCTTCTATCCATTTCATCAAAGTAAGCCCTGTGAATCATTGACAGTTCCCAAACGTAGTAAAGATTCCAAAATAGGAGGGAAGCATGGGAAGAAGTTTCTGAGGCGGTTATAGCACAAGTTATATGGACTGTTCTGAAGGAGATTCATCCCCTCCCTAGTCAGCACCACGCAGTGGTGACCAGAACCAGAAGGCAGCTATCCCACCCAGAGGTAGAACAGTACAGACTGGACCTTACAGACCCATGACAGTATACTTAGGTCAGGGACAGCTCAGCTGAAGAGTACAGAATACTGCTGAAATCAACTAGCTGTACAAGGGGTCCATTTTCTATTTTGGCCCTGCTACCTCCCACCAAGCCAAGACAATGAGGCACCACCCAATGTGTTCAATACTTTCATGTGTTCCTTTTGCCAAATGTGTTCATTTTGTGCTCAAGATAAGAGCATCTTTATTGTTTATAGCATGCATTTATTTTTAATATAATATTGTTGTTTTTTTTTCCTTTGATATTTTAAATAATTTTTTTAACTCTAAATTTTTTTAAAAATATTTTATTGGTGTTACTATAAGCCACACAATTCCACAAGAGTGAAATGAATTTTATACTGCACATTATTTTAACTTAATCAAATTTTTTTTTATTATTTATACAAAACACTGAAAAATTTACATGAGGAATTTTCCAAAACAAGAAATATTGCATTCATGAACAATTACATCTTGTAACTATTGAAACATTTCACAATCAAATGTATCTAGTACTTAGTTGTGATGCAATACATCAAACGAATCTCGGGCATGATACAAATTCACTTTACATTACAACACAGAATATTGCTTTATACAGATTTATTATGTATGGTTGATCATATGTTCAAAGATTATATTTTGAATAAATTTATTTCTTTAAATTTAAACCTGTGTAATTTCTTTTTCCAAATGTTGCAGAGTTTACCCTGATGGTTAATACTGCATCTAAAGATGAAATTCAATTTGCAATATTTTTATGGACTCTGTCTTGCAATTTTAAAGAATGTCTCAAGCTACTGGCTTGTTTTGGGCACTTGCATGGTTTCTCTAAATAGGTGATGTGAAGAGTACCCCTCCCCTGTCAAAGAAAAAAACTTCTCATCTCCCTTATTATTTGTATTACCGGTAAGAATTAGGACCACCTCAGACTCAGCGAGTATCAGATTTATTAAATTAAAAAAAATAAACAAACACAAGCCTTCAAAGGTCTTCCAGATTTGATGCTGCTATCCAATCCTGGTCCTGTGACATAAGCAGACTTTGAAAAATGGTCTTGTGCAGAACTTGTTTGTTCAGAGAGTTTATTTTGATTTCCACACGAAACCTTGTATTTACTTTCCACAGGTAAAAATCAGCATATCGGTGATTTGTCTTGGTTTTCTTGAAAGAAAAAGTCTATGTCCACCAATACTATGAACACTATGAAGATATGCATTAGTTTTAAGACTGTCATTCATTTACCAAGGTATTGTTTTTAATCCACTTCATGGAGTAGAGTAAATGGAACACTCCTGAGAGAGTGAAATTTGTTGGTAATGTACATGCATATGATATCAGCTGATGCCGGTCCACTGTAATGATGTGTATGTAATGGTGCCATCCTCGCCCTCTGAGCACATTAAGACTGTCTTTCTAACATTCGATCCTAATCGCCCCATACTTACAAGATCCAGGGCAGACATTCTTTTGTCATGTGGAATGCAGATGGCAATGTAATGAGAATGGAATCTGGAAGGATCACCTGAAAGTAAAGGAACAAAATTTTCAAGTGGGCCTGACATTAACTATAAATGAAAGAACATAAAAAGATTTGATATGAATAGTTTTCTAGTGATAAATTTTTGAAAATTTTATGAGAGGAGAACATCTTGCTATAATCATCCCAAATTAACATTTTTCCACCCAAAATACTTTTTAAAATGTAAATATATTTCACCTTTCATTCAAACAAATCACACTTACCAGGATAAACAAGAAAGTCACCACCAAATTTACTCCCATTAGACAGGAAGTAGCCTTGGTTCCATAAGTCTCTATAAACGTGATATCTCAGGTGATCTCGTTCAGTTGTGGGAAATGACCAAACTGCTGGCACTTCCTCGTCTACATATGGAGACTCTACAATAAAGTTGTGTGAGATTTAACTTTTTGACACTTGACATCATGACTGAAAGTCATGGAGAATATTTCTTATGCTATTTACTCTAACAATTGAATAACAAAGGCAGACACCCAAGGTCAACAAAACCCATACCAAATAATATTACCAATATATACATGTATATCAAGGACTGAGGGCAAATCATATGTTCTTGTTTCTTACCCTAATGCATTATATAGGTGGAGAGAAAATGTTAAGCTATACAATTGATACCAATAGTGATAATACATAATTATGTGGCGGTCAGCCGGGTTCGATCACCGGTGGCCAGATAGCTCAGTTGGTAGAGCACCTGACCGGAGTTTCATGAGGCCCGGGTTTGAATCCTGGTCTGGTCCGCTGCATTTTCTCTCCTGTTACATTTGGTTCCGTGCCATGCCCTGGAACTGACAGGTGAAAGACCTACCAGGGATGAGCCTGGTTTGCGGTCTTTGGAGGGTCAAAGACCTTTCAGGAGGGAGGAATGTGGCGGTCAGCCGGGTTCGATCACTGGTGGCCAGATAGCTCAGTTGGTAGAGCACCTGACCAGAGTTTCAGGGGGCCTGGGTTCGAATCCCGGTCTGGTCCACTGCATTTTCTCCTCTCCTGTTACACAAACATGTAAGTACCTACCATGGTGTGTAAACTGACAAAAGTACATCTTAAATGAGCAATATTTTTTGAAGAAGAATTTTTCCATCCTACAGAAACATACCTGTAAATAACTGGACAAGACTGAATTTCTTTGGTATGGGAGGGATGGGGACTTTGTCTACATCTATACTGAAGTCTTCCTCCTCATTCACCTCCTCTGTAACCTCCCCACAGCTCTTCTTCTCTTCCAGCTCCATCCTAGCCTTCTTCTTCTTCCCCTCAATAATGTTCCCCATGTTTTGATGTATTTCCCTCTTTCTCTCTTCTCTGAACATTTCTACCTGTTAACACACATATGTAAAACATCAAGTTTAGCCTATTTTAGGGCTAGCCTACTTATTTATCAGAAAATGGTGAAGCAGATTGCTATATATATCTGCACAACATTTTTAATTGATTTTCAAGCTTTAATATTGCAGTAGCTTTAAAACCTCTAACTTACCCGGTATTCAACTACTTCACTAAAGTAAAACATATCTCTTTGTGAGAGAATATTGTGATTACTTGAGGCAAACTGCTAATGAAAATTTCATTCTAATGTAATTTTGTATTTGTGAATATTAATATATAATATATTGAAAACTGCAATTCATGAAAATACTTTCTCACTAATAAACACCAAATTCCTATAACACAAAAATAAGTTGTCAAAAAATGGTGATCTACAATATATATTAAATTTAAAAAGGTGTCACTTTATTCAAATAATCTTATCTGCAGTTTTCACATTAACAAGAATAGATATGGGTTGCCCCATATCCAAAGATATTCGACTGTTAGATTTAATATGTTTAACAGTGTTTATAATGACGTTAATAAAAAAAAATGCACTGTCTAATTATGGAACTGTTGTAAATATCGTGATTCCATAGCATTACGGTCACCCAGTCTCCTAACAAACAGTACACATAGGCCTAGATGTACCTGTAGCGTTGGTCTACACACGTGCAATGGAGCTGTCACACGCATCCAGCGAGCTCGGAGAAACACGTTTTGTTTTGCCGAGAAGTTACGGTGTCAGACAAAACTTTTCTTTTCTTAATTAGATCATATAAATACGAATTCTGATTAATAAAAATTATACAATCCCTGTTGAACTTTATATAGTTTGTTCTAACATTTTCATCTGCAACAACTTGTGTTTAAAATGGCCGGGTTGGGAAAATCAGGACCGGGTCGGAAAATTCTAAACTGAAAACATGGAAACCTTTTTTGTTTTGAAAATAACTGAAATATACTAATATATTTGTCGCAGAAATTACTTACATTATTCAAGTTCTATATATAATGGTATGCTGAACTTCAACACGAACCCGAATCTCCAACCCATGCAGTTTTCGTTTTGCCACACATACCCTACAGTCTACAAAGCGTACACACGAGCAGGCCAGGGATTGAGAATTCCGTCATTTAATAATACACACACACAGAATGATTATTTCTTTCTTTAAGAACAAATTGTATGATAATTAACGGACTATAAACATGTACTTAATACAATTGTTGATATAGTATTATCAATTCATTGGTGAAAAGATATGAATCGAAGAATGACCTAATTATTCTCTGTTATCAAACACGTAAAAAAAAAAGGCTGAGGAGGGAGCGAGCGTAGGAATATTGATATTTTTTATTTGCATTTCGGGGGGAAAGTGACTTTCTAATGATATTTTGACGTTATTTTTGATTTCTTTAACGTATGACATACACAACTTTACTCTTATCATGAACAATAATGTTGTATCTACTTATCATGATGGAATTATTTTGGTCGGACCAATATGTGTGAGCTGCCGCTGAAAACAGTTATATATCTTGCAAAGATAGTATGCATTGATCGAATATATAGAAAACAGGAAATGAATGATGCCAAAGTTAAAGTTTCTATGGAATGAAAAACAGAAACATGTCAACTGCTGATTTACCCTATTGTCTATTTATACAGCTGTAAGATTGTTCGTTTTTTATGATTTGATGCATTCCAACAAGAAAAGTTAAGATTACTTTGTACTTTATTGTTGCTTCGATCACCCATATAAAAAGACACCTGATTTTGGTAGCTCTGCTCTCTGTATTCATCAAACTCCTCTTTCTCCTGTGCACTGGTTTCCCTCAAGCCACTGTTGCCATCCACGAGGATTATAGCACCTGAAATAATAACAAACCAAAGATGAAAATACCTTTAGAATATTTATGGACTTTAGAAACATAGAATCCAAAAATCTTTCCTGGTTACCAGGGTTGTCCTTAACAATTGGAATAGCTTTGTCATTAAAAACTAGAAGGGGGTCTGGGGTTCCTTCCCTAACAGGGGTTTAAGGGGGGGGGGGTGCCAGTTTAACCAGGGCATTATGTCCCTGGCTCCAAGGTCTAAAGGGCAACCCTGCTTAACTGGTTATTTAATGCTGATAATATGCTCCTTTAGCTATAGTACATCATGAATTTTTAAAGAAAATTTTATACCTTTTTCAAGCATAAGAGTGACTTCTTCTTTAGAGAGCTGAAGTGGCAGGCCGAGGTGATTGTTTTGACGTGGTAATCTTGGCAAGCATCCAATGAGACATCCCACAATCCTCCACTCCTCTCTCAATTCCACAGCATCTATGCACAAGAAACATCAATTTAGTACATAGGCTTATACTTAGCAACAACTTATTGAAAAAAATACAGACCTGATTTTATGCAATCTCTTTACCACAAAACTATCGTTTGTGTCCTAAGTCAAAAGGACTTTTTATTTGACGTCATACTTTCGTCACTTAAATGGCTCGGTATTTCCAATTTTGTCGGAAGCTTCCAAGAAGTTCAGAATCTCGATCCTGATGCATGAAAGGTGATTCTTTTAATTGTTGTGTACTTTTCTTATTTTCTTTCTTTTTTTAATGAACTGAGGATAGGCAGTACAAGTGTAACTTGTACATAGGTTTTTGTAAATAGTTAAAATACAAAGCTGCACTCGCCCCAACGGTCACACTGTAAAACATTATAAACCCTTGTAGTTAGCTAAATCAAGAGATTTTGTTTTGCTGTAACTGGGTATAAACATTCTTTTAAAATATTTTTTGTTTATTCATGCCCTTCTGAAGAAAATGTTTTCTTTCTATGAACTCATAGTCCCTGGGACCTGTTTATTTCAACTGTGGCGAAAACCTGTCCTCTTCTGAGAAATAATATCATGGGTAACATTGAAAGACTCAAAATCAGGTCCAGTACAATCTCTTGATTTAGCTATATAGCTTTAAATAGCTATATAGCTTTATTAAGCTATTCAGAATAGCTTAAATTAGCTATTTTACTATAATTTTTTCTTAAAGGTGTAATTTTTCAGTATGTACAAAAAAGCACACCTTGGTGCAGTGATGAAATACAACCTTGAACTCTTCTTAAAATAATGCATGTAAAAATCACTCATCAAATTACGTCTCCTTTAGAGACTTTGTACTCAAAGTTCTACAAGTTTTGGGGCTGTTTAAAGCAATTGTTACAGCTACTTCTGCAATGATATAATAAAGGAGACCAATTATGGTCAACAAGATAATTGAATGGTAACAGTTCAGCACAATGAGAAGCAATCATACTTATCCATGCCTCAACGCACTCACTGCCACTCAGTGTAGTGAACAGTTACTTTAACTATAGAAATTCTCTTTTTGCTTAAAAGTATTCAAAAGCTGCAATGTTAGAACTATCTTTCATTTTGGTTGTTGTTTTGATAGCCCATAGAACATATATGAAGAAGAATCAAATGCTTGCGACTTTTTGTTAACTAGTATTTCTAGCAAAAAACATTTTTTTTGAAAAACTGTATATAAGTAGCTAAATAAAGCTATTTTGAATAGCTTAATAAAGCTATATAGCTAAATCAAGAGATTGTACTGGACGGTAGTGGACCTGAAAATGGCCTTATCAGTCAACAGTGATATTTAAAGCAAGTTTTACCTTTAGAACTCCACACCAGTGGTTTGTCATTCTGGAGGTATACTTTGATTGGTCTGGAAACAGACATTTCTAAGCATAGGAGTAGAAACAGTAATTCAAAAACTCAGAAAATATGCATTTTTAGCGAAAAAACGTCAAAATTTTCATTTCAGTTACATGGGCGCAGCCATCTTGAAATCTCTCGCCCTTCTTTGAAGAACTCCGAGAACCTCCGTCAATGCAAGTCACGTGATTGAAAACGGCGCGAAGTAAGCACATTGTCAACAAAGCAGGGAGGGAAAGAGAGAGAAAGACAGAGAAATCATGGCAACAGATATTGATCAGCGCTTGATTGATATTCAGAGAGAGTATGTTGATTTCCTTGATGATGGGGTAAGAGTTTATCAATTGTATTATAGTTGATGTTTTGGCAGCGAAAAATCATAAACAATATGATCGAGCCTATAAGCGGAAAGTTTGCTAAAATAATTTACCTTCAGTCAACATTTTAAAAAAAATAAACTGTGTGTTGTTATCTACATCTATATATCTGTGTTTCCTCTTATTCTAAATTAAGATCAATTCCTTTATTCAATAAATTGTGTTGGAAGGGGAGGAGAGGGGGGTTAGACATGCAGGACACTAGCTGAAGGTAATAAAATACAAAGTGATCATTTGGTTTTCATCAATCATGCCAAGATTAATGCTGTTCTATTCATGTTAGCATGTGTGTTTCTGTGTTCACTTGGAGCTTAGATGTAACAGTTTAATTTTAAACAGTTTAGGATTTTAAACTAGGTCCCCCCTGAACTTCAGTCAGGTTACACTACCAGTCGAGCTCTTGGGCCACTTAGCAAATATGCCTGCCTGACTTATAATTAATGTATTTATTTTGAAACTATGCAGGAGCTAGAGTACCTCATAGTCATGAGAGTGGAGACCATGCTGATTATCATTAAAAAAAACTTATAAATCCCCACACTGACAAGCAGCTGATGTCTCAACTTCTTCCAACTTTCATTTTTACCAATCTTCTGAGGTCAATAGATGTATTTTAGAAAACTAAAATCATATTTTCAGACCATTTATTTGCTTGTTGTAATGTTTAAGCATAAAGATCACTGAAAAACTTTTACTTCAGAGAAATCAAATGTTGTATCTAATTTCTAATGGATAATTGTAAGTAAGGAAGAATGCAAGCTTTTAAGCTCCATAATGAGAAAAAGTATCCAACAAAATTTTAAACAAATGACAAATACTTTAATCTTTTACATATGTGTTGTAGGAAGACCAGGGCATCTACCAGCAGAAGGTCAGGGACATGATCACTGATGATAAATGTAGACTTGTAGTGAACATCAATGATCTCCGAAAGAAAAATCCTAAAAGGGCACAAAGGTTTGTACAATCTGATTAAAATCAGATCCTTTGATCCGCTCACATAGATCGCTACACAAGGATCTGAAGAAACCCCATTCAGGGTCATCTCCTGGTGACCTTTGAATTATCCAATCAAATGTTCACTTTGAAGAATTGGAAAGTATCTTGGAATTCAGTTACAGGGGGGGAAAGGCCCGATGATAGACGAATGGAAAAATCGTGACCTAGTTTCTGTAGCCTGTCAAGAGAAGGGCCACAGTCTTTTCTGTACAGTACTAAATATAATACGTACTTGCTTTTGTCTTGTTTTTTAGCTTTTTGTTTTGTACGAAACGATAAGATCTTCTCCGCAGCTACTTTCACTTCTATATTCGTTTTCCCGAATGTCGCTTAAGTACGATCACTCTGATTGGTCAAAATTTTCATGAATATTTTTTATGAGAAAGGTCACCAGGAGATGACCTTGAATGGGGTTTCTTCAGATCCTTATGTAGCGATCTATGTGAGCGGATCAAAGGATCTGATTTTAATCTATGTGAGCGGATCAAAGGATCTGATTTTAATCTATGTGAGCGGATCAAAGGATCTGATTTTAATCTATGTGAGCGGATCAAAGGATCTGATTTTAATCAGATTGAGGTTTGTACTAAGTTATAAGTGAATAAAGTTACGTGTACATCTACATGTACACATGTGCATTATGACGTGTACATCTACATGTCAGTCTTTGTGTACTTGATTGGTGTAAACTTTAAAATTAAGAACTTCTCTTTGGCCAACTGGATAAATTTAAGTGGAAACTTGATACAATGCATCTTTTGGTAAAGAGAAGTTGGGTAATTTTCTTGAGATGATAGTCTATTTCCTTTGTTAAGGAATGGAATTCAACACTTAAAATACTGTTAATGTATTACATTTGGCATGTACGATATTTGGCGGAAATTCAATTTTCAACAATTTAGCATAAATTTGATTTAGCGTTGTGTGAATGTGCTAGTTAAAAATCTTAATATACGAGACATTTAGCGATGTACTTGAATTAGTGGACCCTGCTTTCCGCCAAAATCGCTAAATAGAATACACTGCTAAATGTAATACGTTTACAGTATTTGTTAGAATCATATACAGTTATCACTGAGCCACACAAGTCAAAAAGCTGAAAAACCTGTGTATATTTATGTGAAAAGCATGATTTATTTATGTGATGGAAATGATATGACATGATTTTGTGTTTGCATTTCAGCTTGCTGAATGACTCATTTGAAGAGCTTGTGGCTTTTCAGAAAGCATTAAAAGAATTTGTGGCTTCAGCAGACCCAGTATACAGCAAACAACATGAGGAATTTTTCATTGGATTCGAGGGAAGGTATGGGCAAATTCAATGAAGGCTAACATACTCGAATTTTGTTATCTTGATGGCAATGGGGCAGGAAGAAGAATTCAGGATTTGAGATATTGAGGTTAAAATACAAAAGGATTGAAAGGAACAATAGTTGAAACTTCCAACTCACTTCAATCACGTCAATTGTTTTCAGGACATTAGATGTTTCTCTGGATAAGAAAATACATTATTTTTCAGAACGAATTTTTAGATAAATTTTTCAAAAAATTTCAATGGAAATAATCTTTTAAAAATAAAAATTCTTTAAATTCCTAGCTTCGGTGCAAAACATGTGACTCCAAGAACAATGACATCCAGTTACCTTGGCAACATGGTCTGTTTGGAAGGAATAGTCACTAAATGTAAGATTATTCAAGTCTTTTTTTTTTTTTTTATAAAGTGTAATTTTTTGATTAATCGGAAATGTTCCAGCGTGCAAGTCATTTATATTTGTTAACTCATTAAGAAAGTGCCACCTCTTGTATGCAAATGATACGTTTGTCTCCTAAGTGTTACAAATTTGTGACATCATGTTGGGTGACTTTGTAGGTTCCTTGATCCGCCCAAAGGTGGTGAGAAGTGTGCATTTTTGCCCAGCCACAAAGAAAACGATGGAGAGACGATACACTGACTTGACATCTCTGGATGCCTTCCCAAGTGCTGCAGCTTACCCTACCAAGGTGAGTCTAGGTCCTATGAAGGCAGGTCTGATCCCTGAATTAGTCAGGGCTGGTCTCAATTTTTAAAGATAAGTCTGTCACGATTGCTTGACAAGTCTATTTTTTTTTACGAAAATCAGTCTATTATCCTAGTAATGTCAATCTAGGACTTTTCATCTTGTGAAAGTCATTTAATAATGAAAACAACATTTTTCATAAATTTTTAAAGTGCATTGTTAATGTTTTTCTTAACAAATATCTGTTGTATTCGTCTGACATGGGTACTGTGTAGTCATTTTGCTGTGTTGATGTTTACATTTGTTTTTTCTGATTAAAATATTTGATGACGAGAAATGTATCTAAATTAAGACTTTTATCTTTGTTATAAATTTCTATCCATCATTTGGTCTACTGAAGAGATATTTCTATTCTCTATCCAAAATATCTGGCTTTCCTAATGCTTTCCTAAAAGATTAAATATGAATAAAAACAACTGACGTGTTTGTTTGAAGGATGAGGAGGGTAACCTTCTGGAGACGGAGTATGGATTGTCAGCTTACAAGGACCACCAGACATTCAGTATTCAGGAGATGCCGGAGAAAGCCCCCGCTGGACAGCTCCCGCGCTCAGTGGACATCGTAGCCGACAACGATCTGGTGGACGCTTGTAAGGTGAGTTCTGCAGCTGGGAGATTTTATCAGATGTACAGATAGACCAGAAAAACTTTGCTTGTATGTATCACAGATTGAAGACGATTGATTTATTGATTTTGTTGCTGCTGCTGTTGTTGATTGCTATGTTTCTATCATTCTTTATCATTGTTTACTCATTTAATATTTTGATGAAATTTAATCTTTCTCTGACAATGGTCTGTTACAGCCAGGGGACAGAGTTCAGGTGATAGGCATGTACAGGTGTATGCCTGGTAAAAGGAATGGATTTACAACAGGTACATTCAGGTAAGACATGGTAGTAGACACAAACCAAATTCTCTTGTGTTATGATATAGTAGTAAGTTATGTTTGATCGAAAAATTTGATTCAAATTGAACTTCATGTTTTGCAGAACTATTCTGATTGCTAACAATATTCAGCTTTTGAGTAAAGAAGTTACACCATCGTTTTCTGCAGAAGATGTTTCCAAGATCAAAAAGTTTGGTAAACAAAAGAACGTGGTAAGTTGAAAAAGGATTGATACTTCAACCAGAGTTCTTGAAATCTTTCGGTCCTGTCGGCAAGACCGATAAAAACAACCAAGGACCGATAACTTTACGGTCTGCGTCAGTCCAAATGACCGGTAGATAATGAGAGAGCAACTTCCGAAAATCCGACTAAATTTCGTACGAATTGCCTATAACCGACCGATCATAATCTGTTAAACGCTTTTAAGTATCACGTAATGGCTTCTTCGAAAAACGCAAGTACCAAACTATGATTGTTTAAACAAGTTTGTTGACGGCGATATGTAAGCCAGGTGAGAAAATCGAACTAGATAAAAAACTTATGAAGAAAATCGACCTCCCACGAGAATTCAACGAAAATTGTTATAGAATGATCAAATTGGCATGAAGTGTGCAGTGTGTATTGATGCAGGGTGCAAAATGTATTGATAATAAAATTCAAATACAGTTTTCATCTTTTTATTGAATTTTTTTTGGACTGATAGAAATCTGTTTGGACTGACAAACTTCCCATGGCAGTCAGTCCAAATGACCGACAGCGGAAAAAAGTTTTCAAGAACTCTGATTCAACTTAGGTATTCTTAAAATTGTTAAGCATAAATGCACAGCATTGTCCCTAAGAATTGAAATAGCAAGAGACTATAAAAAGTACATTGAAAGGGTGTTGGGTTCTTTTCCTAGAAGGAGGTCGAGAATAACTGGAGGATAACATCATTATAGGTGGGGAATTTCCCCTTGCCACCTGGTCTTAGAGGCAACCCTGATATCTGATTCATCTTACTATTTTAGTAGGCCGATGATATATACACGACCGTCGTGCGCACTATATGGAAAGTCTATTTACACGACCGTCGTGCATATAGCTATTGCAAAGTGATGAGATATATACACGACCGTCGTGCATAGATATTAAGTAAAATCTATTTACACGACCGTCTTGCATATAGCTATTGCACATTACCTAACATATGTACACGACCGCATTTATCGTCGTGTACCCTAAATTCGTCCCCAAACTTCTCGAGACCAGCACGTTTCGAACTTCGTATCAAAGACGTCATTTTTAATTGTTTTGACTAGTGAACACAATGATGAAACTTTTTCAGCAATTATTTTTCAGAATTTGCAGTTTAAACTAGTATTAAACTTAAATAAAATAAAAAAAAACTTAAAATATCTGATTATTCCTTTATGTCCATTTTTATTGAAAGTGTAACATTACAGTTAGTTACTTACGTTCCCCAAAATTACTTCCAGATCTAATATACCTTCATTTTATTATTTTATACCCGTCAGTGTATTGAATTACGTGCATGGGCTTTTAATTTAAGAATTTGATAAAAAGAAACCAGCGCTCAAAAATCATAAGGATCCTAGATACACTTTCCACCTAGGATAATGACGTTACCTGTGTTTGGTTGATGTACTATGCGGCCATGCGGGCATCCGTAATTATTTTAGGAAAAAACCTGAGTCATCACTGCCAATGATAGTCTCCAAAAAAATCAAAGATTTTAACAGTCACTTTAACTAACAGCTGTGAATGCTTCCAACGATAGAAATTCTGTTGGTACATGTACTACAAATTAAACCAATTTATAAATACTGTGCTTCTTATTTTCCCGTTTCTTGTGTGTGTGTGTGTGTTTTGTTTTACCCGGTAATAAGTTTCATTTAATCGAGATTTTTTCTATACAAGAATATGTTATGGAGACGGAAAATAAATAAAATCAAATATATTATATCAAAAATATTTCCCATACAGAAGAATTTATTATACCACCCCTTTCAATAAAAAATCAATCTGTCAATATAACCAAGCATTGATGATCACATTGTGTGAATAGATCTACTTTTGACCTTGTCAAGTCGCCAGTCCTCCCCCCACCCCACCCCCCCTTTGCTTGCAAAAAAGTCGGTAGGTAGCCAAGTAATCAAGAAGAAAATGTTTTATTTCTACAAACCAAGAATTTATTTTATTGAACAGTCTGAACAGTCATTTTATTGAGCCGACCAAAGAAGGTGAATTTTTGCCAGTTTGACAGGTGCTGTGTGCTGACGTGGTGCAATGGGTGCATTGATTCAAAGCATAACTAATCCAGCGGGCGTCTACTGGGTCGAAATTCACGATATAATCAAGTAAAACAAGATCTTTCCTGCAAATTCTTTTATTTCTCATTTTCTGCAGATGTATATAGTATATGAAAAGTTTTTCCCCTCCCTGTAATGTGGATATTTCACACATTATCACAATAATTATGTGATCAATTCAAGTTTACGCATTAAAATATAATAGTTTTCCTATTGTTTTTTTTTTCAGATTGTGCCCGACTTGTACTGCTCAAATATTTTGATATTCTCTCGGTTTTTGCCAGTAAGGTCAAAGAATTTTTGAAAATCTAAAATAAAACATTGTATAATTCACATATCAGGTAATTTGGTGAGCATACAATAACATGACATCGTTGAAAGCACGTTCGTGTTTTTTTAAAATTTCGTTAAAGAAATGAAGAGAGGAAACTTTCCACTTCCTTTACGGTTCTCACAAAAAAAAACACCTTCTTTCCACTAATCAAAATTAAGTATACTATAAAATAGTTATCAACGTGCAGATATAATTACGTTTATTTAGCGTCTGATTCATGCAGTTTTGTAATTAAGGTGCTATACTATAGTATAATTTGGAGATTCTGCTTGCGAAGTCAAAGAGATTTATTAATAAAATTTTGTTGTTTTTAGCTCTACTGGTCAGAGACCAGAAGAGCTTATGCGATAGTAATGCGTCCGGCGTCCGTCCGTCTGTCCGTCTGTCTGTCTGTAAACAATTTTTCAAAATGCTACTCCTCCTACAGTTTTGGTCTAATTTCAATATAACTTTGCACACAAGTAGACTACACTAAGATACATAATTTTGTGTATCGGTTTTTGATTTCGATAAACGGTGTTGCCGTGGTAACTAAAAATAGAAATTTCTGTAAAATTGTTTCAAAATGCTACTCCTCCTACAGTTTTGGTCTGATTTCAATATAACTTGGCACACAAGTAGACTACACTAAGATACATAATTCTGTGTATCAGTTTTTGATTTCGATAAACGGTGTTGCAGTGGTTACTAAAAAAGAAATTTCTGTGAAATTGTTTCAAAATGCTACTCCTCCTACAGTTTTGGTCTGATTTCAATATAACTTGGCACACAAGTAGAATACACTAAGATACATAATTCTCTTTATCGGTTTTTGATTTCGATAAACGGTGTTGCCGTGGTTGCTAAAAATAGAAATTTCTGTGAAATTGTTTCAAAATGCTACTCCTCCTACAGTTTTGGTCTGATTTCAATATAACTTGGCACACAAGTAGACTACACTAAGATACATAATTCTGTATATCGGTTTTTAATTTTGATAAACGGTGTTGCCGTGGTTACTAAAAATAGAAATTTCTGTGAAATTGTTTCAAAATGCTACTCCTCCTACAGTTTTGGTCTGATTTCAATATAACTTGGCACACAAGTAGTAAACACTTAAGAACATAAGAAGACCTTATCAATGATCATTATTCTATTTATTGCTGTTGTAAAGTTTCAATTCCCAACTGCTTAAGTACTTTTCTCTTCCTTTGCTACAAGTACAAACCAGTAGAGCTTCAGTCTCGACAGAGACTTCTGGTTTTTTAAAGTAACATAAGTTCATAAAAAAACAGGTTTGACAATTATTCTTTGAAAATTAAATTTTATTGCCTTTTGAAAATATATTGAGGTCATTTTTATATACAATAATATAAAGAGAGATTCTCGATTTTATTTCCTAATATAGAGAGAAATTTTCATTTTATTTAGGTTGTGCATCATTTGTTCTCAATATTTCCCCAATTATACAAGATATCGGCACCACTGGCACTGAGATGTTTGAATTAAATCAGTGCATCAGGTCATTTGTTCACGTTGTTTATTCCACAGAATCCATATCCTTAATTGATTGAAACAAATGGTTTAATTAATACAACAAAGTTCAAAAGTCAATAAGAAGTAAATGATTCCTGTCAACAAGTGACAATTACTACATACATTGGATACATGTAAACCAAGTAAATGGTCGTACATACGAACCGTCTTAATTGGGACGAAACGCCTCAGTGCGAATGGTCTGTGGGGACGAATCGTCTCGCACTCAAACAAGGAAAGATAAATACAAAGCATGTTTAATGTTTTACACGACGGTCGTGTAAATAGTCATTCAAATTAAATACACGACGGTCGTGCAAATAGTTATTGAAATTATATACACGACGGTCGTGCGAATAGTCATTGAAATTATATACACGACGGTCGTGTATATAGACACTGCCATTTTAGTATAAGATTATATAGCAAGATTTAATTCTGAGTTTTACTAACTTAAGTTCTACAAATGCTGAGCAATAAGTTGATATTAATTGTAGGATGTATTTGATGTTTTGGGACGATCCTTGGCACCCTCCATCCATGGCCATGAGTACATCAAGAAAGCTGTTCTCTGTATGTTACTGGGAGGAACAGAGAAAGTATTGGCTAATGGTTCCAGAATAAGAGGGTCAGTCATGCATAATCGATTCTGTTGTCACTTACTGTAGATACCTAATAATATCAGCGTAATTTCGCGAGAAGCATCACTCGCGAAATCACATTACTCGTTTTTATTTTTATGGCATTGAAATCCATGTAAATTCTGTCGATCAGCCGCCCATTCGCGAAGTATTATTCTCGAGATTTGACGTTAAAGGGCTAGTTCGCGATAAAAAGTACTCGCAAAAAATAAGGAATCTACAGTATTTAGACTTCCGGAATGCAATCTCCTGTACATATACTAGTGATTGATAAACGGGGGTATTTTTTTACAGCGACATCAATGTGTTATTGATTGGGGATCCTTCTGTTGCTAAATCCCAGATGCTGCGGTATGTTCTACACACAGCACCGAGAGCCATACCCACCACTGGAAGAGGCTCCTCGGGGGTCGGTCTCACTGCAGCGGTCACCACTGACCAAGAAACAGGCAAGTTCTGACTACTTCATAGGTTTTAGCCACTAATATTATGTTTGATGTTTTGATCTAGTCCTGCATTGGATGTTTTGATCTTGTCCTGCTTTGGATGCTTCACTTGAAGAATGCATACAAAATGTATATGTTATATTTTAAAGATCAGGATCTTGTTTTTGAAGCAGCTTCAATCCTGATGGATAATCTTTGCTATAACATTTTTCACACAGGAGAGAGACGTCTTGAAGCAGGAGCCATGGTTTTGGCTGACAGAGGGGTGGTGTGTATTGACGAGTTTGATAAAATGTCTGACATTGATCGTACCGCTATACATGAGGTGATGGAGCAGGGACGAGTCACGATTGCCAAGGCTGGGATACATGCCAAACTGAATGCCAGATGTAGTGTGCTGGCTGCCGCTAATCCTGTCTATGGAAGAGTGAGTATTATGGAAAATAAGGGTGAAAAAGTCATTGGGGCAGAAATTTCAATTAAAAAAGGTTTTCGTATATTCTGCCCCTTTAGGTAAATGTAGAAAAAAGTTATTATAAGGAACATACATGTATTTACGCAAAGTCTGAAGCCACTTAACAATTCTGATCACATCTGCTCTTTTGTCTTAGGTAATTTCTTATGTGTGATGTACATGTACATGTATGTATCGGATGTTTCTAGAATTTTGGAGATTGAAACACTTATGTTTTTCTGATTTTCTCATTTCAGTATGATCAGTACAAGACTCCAATGGAGAACATAGGTCTTCAAGACTCCTTACTCTCACGTTTTGATCTTCTATTCATTGTCCTTGATAAGGCAGGTTATGAAAAAAATATCCATAGGGGAAAAAATTCAGTATGTAAGCAAAGAATAGTTATTTGTATAGAATGTCAACTTTAGACTTTCAGAAAACTGTACAACTGAATTGCTTCAATTAACAACATTAAAATTATTAATTAATATTTAAACTTTTCTGTTTTATAGATGGACCCTGAACATGACCGTATGATTTCTGACCATGTGTTGAGGATGCACCAGTACCGTGCCCCTGGGGAGCAGGATGGAGAGGGTAAGTGTCCAACTTTATGTCAGGTCTTGACAGGTGGCATGGTTGGTCATAAATAGAAGACCAATATGTCATATCCAAGATCATTATATTACCTGCATGTATTACAGGTGCTTGGAGTATTTGCTTGTCAAATTGAAAATAGAATTATTGTTATGTAATTTGGGGGGAAGGGGCTTATCTTTAAGATTTTATCCAAGTGATACACTTTACACAGAAAAGCAAGTTAATGTTGCAATATTTGAGTATTTTTTCTTGGGAAGGTCAAGTCATGTCTTTAATGTAAAAGACATTTTTTGTATGCTTAGTTCTAGAATGCATTCATTTAAATACATGTACATTTTTACAGTACTACCATTTGGAAGTAATGTTGAGATTTTGGCGACATCTGACCCAAATGAAGATCGTGAGGATACAGAAACACCAATTTATGAAAAACATAACAAGACATTGCATGGACCTAGTAAAGGCAAAAAGTGAGTTATTCTGAAACATGAACATTTAATTCCATAAAGAATTTCATGCATGAATTATATAAATTATAGAATATTTTACTCCAAACTAAATTTTAGGTTTTGTTCAAGTTAGGCAAAGAAATTGAAAGCTGCATAATACAAGAATTATTTAGTATTTAATTTTATTTCTGTGCAGGGATAAGATTGTGAGCATGCCCTTCATGAGGAAATACATACATGTGGCCAAGGCCCTGAAACCAAACCTGACCCGGGAAGCTGCTGAACACATAGCAGAGGAGTACGCCAAGCTCCGCAGTCAGGATAACATGCAGAATGACAACATAGCCAGGGTAAGAGGAATGTCTGGGTACAAGTCTAAATTGCATTAAGACACACTTGCTGAATTAGGTGGAAAAGGATTCTGTTAAAATCCACGATCATGGCTGTTTTTCTCTCTTGATTGGCACTAGTCTTATTTTAACAGCTTTAATTATCAGTTTGTATTGCCATGTCTACAGTAATTTTACATAAAGATTAATATAGCTAGTATTGGAAATGAATGAAAGATGCATAAGATTAAGTGTATAATTAAAGTTGATGGATTGTTTGTAGACCACGCCTGTGACCGCCCGTACCCTGGAGACAATGATTCGATTGTCCACAGCTCATGCCAAGTGTAGACTGTCTAAAACAGTGGACTTAGAAGATGCCCAGGCGGCTATTGAACTTATACAGTTTGCTTACTTTAAAAAGGTAACAAATAAAGCCATTACCTGAAAAATGCATATCAGTGAAAACATCTTCAAAGTCTAGCAATTGTTTATTATGTTAGAAACAATATATTTCATTGGAGATTTAGTTTTCCTCAATTTCTAGGGTTTCCATTGAAAAACCATCAAATTTAGAACCTTGGTGAATATTGCTCTATGAAATTGCGGCCCATGATTGAAATCCCTTATGACAATAACTAGATGAAAGACCTAACATGAATATTTCATTTATTAATGAATTGGTACCATTTATGTTCAAGTTAAATAATATTCCTTGTGTTTTACAATTCTTCAGGTGTTGGAGAAGAAGAAGAAAAGAAGACACAATTCTGAGGGGGACACAGAAGGGGAGAGCAGCCAGGACGAGGCACAGGATGAAGTGGATGGAGAGGTCCCCAAGAAAAAGAAACAGTGAGTCCCTCACTACATTGTGTGGTAGGCTAAACCAACAGAGAAAACTGTAGCCAGTGTGGATCAAATTAGGATTGGAAAAAAGAAACTTTCTTGTCCATTATTGTCATTATATCAGAATAAGATGGCCACCCAGTGTCATTACTAATGTGGATTTGAGTGATTATAAATAAATAGCCTTAAATATAGAATAGTACTTGCTGAAGTTTTAAGATATTGGGTCTTTATTAGCTTCCTGAAATTTATGTAGGTTGAACATTATATCCTTTTTCTCAGGAGGAGAGCAGCCACTGAAAAGCACATACCAAGAAAGGAAGGCGATGAGGGCTATGATCCATACGACTTTGATGAGAGTGAAGCAACAGCTAGTGAAGGTGAGGGTCTGTCTTAAGGGGGGACCTATGTCGTTCTACGTCAAAGCAGCGTTATGTGACGTCACAATAGCGACGTTTGTTTTTTACCTGTTCACTTTTGCAACTGTGATATAGGCATAACATTGTTAAAGTCAATAACGTACACAATTTACAAAAAAGAAAATATATTCATCAATAATAACAGTTTTATTTGATTTAGTTAATATTAGAAACTCCTTCGGTTGATAATTCATATCAATTTCAGTTAAGAAGAAATACCTCGATGATATGCTGATATATAAGTGCAAAAAGATTTATAAGATAAAATTTAGCAAAGAAAGCAACTTAAATCGGGGAAATATGTTTAATTTTATGTTTACCATTAATTGTATTTTCTGGATAAACTAAGAAAAAAAATTAAGAAATGCACTTGTACCTATATTTGCTTATTGATTTATACCACATGTAGATTTTATTGTATAAAGTCATTCCTAGGTTCTAATAGGTGTTGGTTGTTGACGGGGAAATGGGGGGGGGGACAGAATGATTACATAAAGAATGAGGAAGAAAAGAATTAATCTGTTTAAATTGTTTTTAATCAAAGCAAAATACTCGTTTTCGCAAAATAGTTTTATATTCAGGTGTTTGTCAATGCATACTTACCCTTTTTTTAGTGCAGAAAGGTCAATATTTATGACACAAGAGTACGAAAATAAAAGAAAACGTCATATTTCCCGTTTATTTTATCATAAAGGTATACTTTTTTCTTTGTTAAAATAAAGAGATAAATTATTTCTTTCAAAAAATATGAATTACAACATTTTTACACAAAGACTTTTTAAGATATTGCCTGTTATGCATGTCGGAATTGTAAAAAATACGACAAGAAAAACGGGGTGATACTTACATTGTGCTCCTTTATAATTTTTCATGCGAGATGAATTACAATGAAGTTGCCTTCATTTTAAAGACACAAGTCATATACATTAAATACATGTTTATTTCGAATGTGATTTAACATTTTTGGTTCTTTTTAGCGCATATTTGGAGTAGAACAATAATGTCTTAAAATAATCTATTTTTAGCATTTCACACTGTTTTTGCACGTGCTCCTGTGTAAAAATAAGCATATAAAGGTATTGTTTTTTAATACCTAAAAATTATGAGCAAGTGATCAGGAAAGAAATGTCAAAGTTTTGAAAATTTCACACAAAGACTTTTCGGACATAGGTCCCCCCTTAATCATTGGTGGCTTCCTGATGTAGAGTTTGTCACTCTTGTTTTAAATATGTATATACACGTGTCTATAAAATAGCAGGGCATTAAGGAGGATCTCTACACCTGTAAAGTATAACTGATTTTTGTTGCATGCATTTGTTTCTAATAATAGGCCCCATATCCGACAAAATAAGGTTCCAAAGTATTTCAATTTATTTTTTAGATATATTTGAAATATTTTATTTAATTTGTTAAAATCTCTCATATCAATTTTTTTAAATGCCCATTGCTTTAAATTTCTCTTTAAAGTTTAGTGTTATAAAATATTGAAATAATAACCAACAAAGTTAAAAATAAAATCAACATAATTTTTATTTAAATTTACAAAAATAGACAAAAGAAAAAACTAAAATAGCATTTTCTTGAGAATAGCTGGTTGGATCCTCTTCAATATCTGAAAAGATATATAATATGAAAGGGTAAAAACAATGAAAAAAAGAAATAGAAAAAAAAAACTGTCAAAAATTTATAAACATCACAAAAATTCAGATGTGAGAGATAATTGCTTTAAGAGTGGACTCAAATATCTTGGTACTGTTTTTTTTTTTATAAACTTCAAATAAACTCTACTTGCACAAGTATTTTAAAACAAATGTCACGCAAGGACATTGAAAGAAGTTCGTATTGTACATGTATTGTTTTTCAATTAGTTTAAGCGAAAATCATCGCGTTTCCAGTCAATGACAAAGACATGTATTTAGTGAATTCATGGTATTGAGAAAGGTAGATTTACTTACCGTTTTAATCCAACTTGCATGTGTTATCCAGTGCTATATATAACAAAACAAGTTAAGATGGTAAATGGCTAAAAGCGGTAAAAGAAATTCCTATAACCAAATGCACACTTCGTCTAAAACCTGCACGTTTCCCATACTTGTAAACAGCTGACAGTGTTGATCAAATGTTTGGGTCATGCGAAATTTCACCGGGTATAACCATTCATTCGGGTGTATACAAATCGAGTACAGAGTATCGTCTAGTCGATTAGAAGATAATACATACGTCTTATCTGATCAAATTTGCATTTTTGGGGGGATATATTTTGCTGGAAAAGCATATATGCTTATTGAAGAAAGAAATTTCTGAGTGTATGGCGTTTTGACAAGTAATAATGAATTAGCATATGGACAAGCCATGTTTCATATCTTTTTTTTTCCTCACCTAAAAATCTTATTCTAATAAATTTGTAAATGTATTATTTAATAATTAAATAAGTAGAAATGCAATAAATTGACAAACAATTCATTTTTAAAGAAAGGATACGTATTGGGCAATACACTACATATTAATTGATGTGATATAATGTACATTCCATCCACAATATCGCATGTTGTGTTATACTCAGTGATTTATCGGTGTTAGGTGAATTTGAATCTGATTATTTGGGATCAAAATGGTGTTTTTACGGAAGTACGCCATGTTGTGACGTTGTAGAGAGCCCCCTTAATTGATCTACTATCAATCTCCATGTACATGAATGTTTAATAGAGTACATGCAACCAATGCTCGGAAACCTCTTTAAATGAAGTGTGACACGTTTCTTCGCAGAACATGTTTATTTGGTAATTTTTTTTTTTTTCAATTTTTACAAAATTTACAGATACAAATGTGGATGTTATATTTTCATAGACACTATTTTACAGTTTTAATGTTGTTGTTTACTATTTGTTATCTTTCTTTACCTGTGTGACCATATTGTAGATGAGTCTCAGCCTAAGAAAACCTCCAGAAAGAAGAAAGGGAAGGCATCTCAAGAGGAGTCAATGGACACTGATGCCCCTCCAGCAAAGGGAACCGCTGATATTGATGAGAAAAAGTAAGAGAAAAGTTTCAGCACCAGGCATGTTATGGGCCCCAAACATTTGGAGAATGTATTTACATGTACTTTCATGGTATATATGGAACAGTCACAAGAAATGTTGAGGTAGAGTCGTCCGTTATATATATCAAAGTTATAATATCATTTATTATTTGATTTCAGGATGAAAAACTTCAGAACGTCATTGTTAAACCTCTTCAAATCGGAGCATGCCCAATCTGTGTCACTTGAAAAGGTTAAAGGCCAAATATCCAAAGACTATGGTGATGAATACTCTGAGGATGAAATATTTGGAGCAATCAACAAAATGATGGAAGCCAATCAAGTCATGCTGGCAGATGATGTCGTCTTCTTAATCTGATCTAAGACAATACTTCTAAAATCTAATTATTGGTTAATTCAAACTATGTTTCCTTCAGATATTTGTGGTAGTGCAAGAAAAAAAAAGTGCTGTGATCTTTTACGTAGACTGTAAGGTACATAAATCATTTTCTTTATTTAAAAAAAAATGATAAATAATGTAACAGGATTACTGCAGGGATGCATAAGATGAGAAAACATTTTCCATAAAAAGTTAATATTTATATTTCTCCCTGAATTTGAAATATAACAACTTTAAAATATGTACAGTACTCACCAAAAACATACATATGTAATTGCATTTGAGAGGATGGTATTTCCTATGTACATGTATTCTTGTAATTCTGAAATTGCACTGGTTTACCAAGTAAAATAATCTACACATGTGACATTCGAGATCAGTTTAGAAATGATCATTAAAAATACCTATTATAAATACCTATTATAAATACCTGGTTTTGAATTACATTGATGTGTATGCATGCAATGTACATGTTTTTGTACAAAGTAAACATTTTGTTTAAATTGAAAATATGTATTGATAAATTAAATATGTATTGATAAATTATTGGAATTAAAACAAATTAAAAGTATGATCACTGTTTTGAATTTTTTCCCAAACAGTCTTTTGAAGAGACACTTTATAGGAATGTCTGTGAAATTCATGGCCCCTGGGCCAGGGATTATAGAGCTGGATGGGGCTATTATGATCATAGAGTGAAAATGCATAAACTCTTAAAATCTCTCCCCTTTCTATAGGGCAGATAAACTAGGTGCATGGATATCATGGTCAATGGTGCCTTTTCAAAAAATTGTGAAATAAAATATGTGGCCCCAAAGTCAGGGGTTGTGTTGGAGAAAGAGAGGGGGGGGGCTCTCTATAAATCGGTACTGCTCCTTGGCATTAATCTGACAAACCAAAGGAAGTCTTGATTAACAAGGGTGCTTCTTTTAAAAATTGTGAATTTCATGGCCGCAGGGCTATTGCGCATAGGAAATGAAGCTCATGTGAGCTTTTCTGAACACCCATTGTCTGTAGAAGCATCACACTTCAACCAAAATAAGTACAAAGTATCCTAGGGTGAAGGGGAGTGTAAATTGTTAACATGAAGGAACAAGCCCTCGTCCAAGGGGAGATGATTAAGAAAAGACAAAAGACTTATGTGGAAGCATCCTGGGTTAGTGCAGAATCTAAATTGTTAAAATCATAACCCCTGGGGGTAGGGTGGGGCCACAATAGGGAATCCCAAGTTTTACATCGAAATATATAGGAAAAATCTTGAACCATTGGGCCAGGAAAGCTGAAACTTGATGTGGAAGGTGCAAGCATCCTGGGCTAGTGTAGATTCTAAATTGTTCAAATTATGCCAGGGGTAGGACGGGGCCACTTTAAGGAATACAAGTTTTACCTTGAAATACATGTATTTAGGAAATATCTTTCAAAACCTTCCTCTCAAAAACCGCTGGACCTGAAATGCTGAAACTTGTATGGAAGCATCCTGGGGTAGTAAAAGGCCAAAGTTACCAAGGTAAGCATTGTGGCCTATGGGCCTCTTATTTTCCTTTTTTCAAAGCAACTGTGAACCTTGGATAATGTCAATTTCACATTCATTTAGACCGTTGCACTATTGAGAGCACTGTACAATGAAGACAATCCCCTTGTTTTGATCAACCATTTTGTGTTGTCAGCAATTCATGAAACCTTTAACCCCAGCCTAGATGTAATTCCTATACACAATATCTCATACATGTACATCAGTAATTTGCTGATGATTTTTACCTTTAAAGATGTACAACACCTTTCCTTAAAACACAACATTGTGATAATCAATTTTCAATAAATTTTTATTAAAATCATGTAGAAAAACAACAAGCTCAGAGACCCTCATGGTCACCCGTCAGAGTAATTGTATATTTTTATTCAGTTCGATACATTTAAAGTGACAATACGGCGCATCTCTTCAAAAACAGACTTGTTAAAATTTTCCTATAGGATTTGGAATTTTTTTCAAACTCTTAAATGTATACACTTTCAGAAAATTACAAATTTCATAAGTAAATAATTCTGATGGTACATAAATATATACATCCAACGTGTTCAAGTTTCCACATTCCATGCTACACACGCATGCGTATAGTTTTCATAAACAAAACAGCATGGTAAGAGAGGGAAGCTCGGTAGGCCTGCTACATTGACAAGGTCGACCAAAATGAAAAACAAAACCAAAAATAGGGCTTGAAATTAAAAAGCAACTTTCCTGACAAAAATTTAGTTGGGAGATTAATATAATCATTTGATGAAGAAGAAACGGGATCTCGGCGACATTCACATAGGGCTCGCGAAGGTTCTACACTACAGGTTTGTTGATACATGCTATCATTTCTCGTACTAGTATCTCCATGGCTTTCAAAGAAAAAAATCAGTGTAAACTCAGCATAAAAATGCACTTATGACATATAAAAATTATTGCCATTTGAAGTGCAAATTGTATTGGAACTGCAGAAAGATATTTGTTTGACATTTTGCTGCGATGATGTATGATTTGGTGGATTTTCCTTTCCTGCACCCCAATACATAAAACGTCAACATTTGCACTTAATCATGTTAAATTCGTCTGAATGCAGAATAAAATGTTAACTATTATTAATTTACCCGAGAGTTAAGATATTTTGATTCTGAGAATTGCTTTTACCTAATATTTTATTATAATTGTACACCCTACATTTTAGAATTCACGTGGTACAAGTAAACAGATCTAAGTTGTGCGACCCTTGATTTTCCAGCAGATTCTAATTGCGTTAATTTTGTATGAGGAGAGAATATTTATTTTTTCTCAAAATGCTTACTTCAACTTTTTACCTTATTCCTGAATGATATATTGGGTAAATTTGAATGAAAAAGCACACGATTTCCAGCCGTATTGCCGCTTTAACTAAGAAAAATGAAAAAAGAAGTACAGTTCTCAAACTTTGTTGCAACAATTGCAAAGATAATGAACATAGCTGGTAGATATACAATTTCCATTTGGTTTAGAACCTTGAACTTTTTTATTGCACAATGTTGAAAACTTTTTTTTGTTTCAAAAAAGAATCATATACATATCTGTTAATTTACTCCATAGGCCAGGCGAATAGACCACCCCTTTAGTTTGAGAACAAGATAGTCTTTGTCTCTTTGCTCAGGTGATAAATATTTCTGCTCCATGCAGGGAATGGATGAAAGAGTTTCTGCACACTGCCCCTGAAGTGTTTCACAACTTGGAATATTTCACATCCTTCTGTCACTGTATGTGTGTATGTGTCCTAACTTCAGGAAAATCATGATTTAATACTCCTCAGGATTTATAATCTATATAGAAAAAAATGAAATGTAAATTACTGGTGTTGTAACATCAGGAAAATCATGATTGAATACTCCTCAAGACATATACTCTAAGTAGGGGGAAAAACAAAACGTAAATTAAAATGGTTTAAAAATATCTTGGAGAAAAGATGCTCAAAACTAGATAAATAAATACTGAATACAGCGTTATTTTTGCCCCACTTAATTTTCGCTCTTTTAATTTTGCAAACAATTTTGCCCTGTCTTAAATTCGCCCAGTCATACTTTTATTTAAGAAGTTATAGTGTATTCTTTGAATTTGCCTCATTTTAAATTCGCCCAACTGAGGTTAGGGCGAAAGGGATGAAAATAAAACAAGGGCGAAAATTTCTTTGTACAATCTTTGTAATGGGAAAATTTTAAGAGGTTGTCTCTTTTTGCCCATATATTCTCCACCAAATTTGCTCCTAAATACAGTGTCAAACATTAAAAATAAAATCATCTTTTTGCCTTCTTTACAAGCAACATTTAAACCAAATTATGAAAAGGGTTCTTAGGGAGGAAAAAAGAAAATGTGTGGCTTAACACACTGTAAGTTACAAGGCACCTGCAGATCCTTGTAAGGCACCAACAAGGTATCTATTATCATGATTATAAAAGCAATTTTTTTATCCCATTCATGTTTGACCTACATAAAAATCTTCACAATTTTTTCATAAAGGATTAAAAGCCACCTTGAAGTATTTTCAACATCATACATTGTCAATTGAAAAAATACATTTTATTTTCAGTTAAAGGGTTACTTTCTATTTCAAATGACAATTTGCCCACTTCAAAAAAGTAAAGGAAAAAGTCAACTATACAAAAAAGAAAAGGTATCTTAGAAAGTTGCAGTTTCTTTGTGTAAAATATTCTAGCCTAAGAAGTAGAGCGAATAAGACTACTTTATCTGTCTAAGAGAAGAAGCTACAATATTCTTCCATTTATAACAGAATGTGACAGACAAACACCAAAGTAGTTTCTGTTCATAGGGTAGCACTGGGGTCAAAATTTCAGAAACTTACTTTTAAGTATCTTCAGCACAGCTGACACTGAGAACATTGGGAGTAAGAACAACCTAAGTTTCTAGAAAAAATTAAATTATTATGCTTTAATGACGAAGAGAACAAAATAAAACAGTGTTTGTATGGACATTTACTGTAGAAACTACAGCTTAAAGAAGGTACATTGTGATTGTTTTTATTGTTCATTAATTTCTTGTCAAAATGGAGTTGTCAATAACTTGAAAATGGAGTTGATAATAACTTGAAAAATCTAAAATCTTACCATAGACATGGAATCTATCAAGGAAAGCCATACGAGGCCAATAATAAATGCCACAGTGATTGATTTTTCATTTCCTGGTTGTAGACAGCGGATTACAATGGGAGACATCGTCAGGATGAACATCTAAAAGATATTTATATTTTGTTTTTATTCATTTGAAATGTTTCTGTTCTTTAAAGCTCACTTCTACAACTGAAAGTTTAACAAAATATGTTTGTGAAGCACTGATGCCCCTTATGACAGCTTAATATGGCAAAGTTTTTTCAGAAAGCAAGACAAGGTTTTTGTTGGTACCCAAAGAAAGGAATACATCCATGAAATATGAAAGCCCTAGCATCAACCATTCATAAGCTATGGCCAAAGTTAAAGTTTAAAAGTGGGTCAATGTTCAAAGTCAATGTCAATCGGTCAAAATTGTGGTACCCATGGAGGTACTTGTCACAAGAAATATTCATGTGAAATATAAAAGCCCTAGCATCAAATGTTCAAAAAGTATGGCCAAGGTAAAAGTTTTTCAATAGTAATTCAAACTCTGAAGTCAAAATTCAAATTGTTGGTATCTAAGAAAAGGTCTTGCCACAAGCAATACGAACTGTGAAAGATAAAGTCCTCGTTTATCTGTGACTTTGACCTGGTCTAAATATTCCTGGGTCAAGATCATGACAACTCTCCAGGGCTGTGAGACATGAACTTACCAAAAATATCGAAAAATGGTAGTTTGCCCCATCTGGTGGACTTATGTAGGTTCTACCCACTAGGGACTCTAAATTAAAAATGCTGTCCATAAAAATCAAGGTTGCCACTATCTACAACAGAAAGAAAAATAATAATTAATGTAAATTGTGCAAAGAGGGACATACTGTATAACCTTGACCAGTCGCAATAGGTTTCATATAAATTAACTTGATAAAACAACATTCTGGATTAAATTCTAAACCAAAGCTTCTGATAAGGAACTTAAGTTAGGCAAAAAAAAATTAATTTCTTGGTTCTCAGGCCCTCCCTCATCTCTTCCAAGGGCGCCTCATTGACCCTTTTTATTGCTAAATCAATAAAATAAAAACAACAAATCACCTCCCTCATCATTTTTTGAGGTTTTGTACAATGTAAAAAGCTGCCTCATCATGTTTTGGGGGCAATAAAAAGTAAAAAAAAAATGCCTCCCTCCCTCATCATATTTCTTGAAAAAAGGCCTGAGAACCAAGGAATTAATTTTGCATGGCCTTAATGGTGAACTAGGCAAAATTTAAGAAGATACAACATTTGAATTTGAATTAGACAAGTTTCACTATTATGTCATTTCTTCTAGAGTTCAAACAATTAATACAAACTACCGGTGAGAATGTGTAATTTATTTCCAGAAAAATTACCTGTGGAAGATATTCCTGTAATTTTGAAAGTACGAATCTGCGATTGAAGATTAAGTTGTTCAAAATACTGTTATGTAACTTCTGTAAATCTGCAAATCAGAATAATGTCTTGAACACTAAATATAATTTTCATCATTCAAAAGACTTTAGCATAGTCATGAACACTAAATCTCATTTTCATCATAAAGAAGACTTGAGCATGGTCATAGATAAAAGATTTCATTGTCTTCATTCAAAAAATTTGAGAGCATTATTAGAAATTTGAAAATTAAAATTAACATATAAATTGGCTCAAAATTAAATTTTAATCTTTATTAATGAAAAAAAAGTAATTAATTAACCTTGATAATTTTTATCTTCCTCCTTTTCTGCTTTTTTCTTCATTTCTTTACTTAGGATACTGTTAAGACAGATCCCAGCTGTAAATTTATTTTTCCTGTCTATCTTTTTTTGACTCTTCATTGTTAGGGGTATTACTGCCAGTCTGATAAGAACAGAACCTGAAAAATAAATATAAATATGTTTATTACAAATTAATGAATTAAAATTACCCATGCTCTTTTTGGTGCATATAAATAGTTAACTGTCTTTCATTATGTTCATGATGAACATTAGAAGGGCATAACTACATGTAAAATTTCAGGATAATATTTCTCTAAAAATGTCTAACTTAAATAACTAAAAAGAAAATAAAAAGGCATCCATGAATATCGATCTGTAGGTTACATCTTTGTTTCATAATTGACGTCGGCACTGAAAATTTTTGTGCATGACAATATTCAATCTGATTAACAGATTAAAACCAAATCTTCACCAGCTCCTTTCATGTGACATCAAAACAAGCAAATTCAAAGAATTGTGGTCCCCCGCTTTCGGTGTCTTTGTTGGTGAGATGTTATTTTTTATGACATATTGTGTCTAATATGAACATTCAATCATATGTCATTTCATAGAAATTATCATTGAAGTTGATTTTTTTGAAGGATGAAAACCCTTATCCTGACCGTTAAAAAGTTATGGCCAAAGTTTACGTTTTCTAAAAGTAGGTCAACTCCAAGGTCAAGATCAAAGGGTCAAAGTTGTTGATGAAAGGTTTTCTCACAAGGATTACATATGTGAAGTATGAAAGCCCTAGCCCTTACTGTTCAAAAGTTGTGGTCAAGGTTAAAGTTTTTACATAATTACGTAAATCTTTAAGGTCAAGGTCAAAAGGTCAAAGTTGTTGATATCCAATGAAAGGACTTGCCACAAAGAATACATATGTGAAATATAAAAGTCCTAGTATCTACCATTCAAAAGTTGTGACCAAAGTTAAAGTTTTTTTAAAAGTAGTTAAAACTCCAAGGTCATGGTCAAAGGGTAAAAGTTGTTGGTATCCAATGAAAGGTCTTCTCAAAAAGATTACATATGTGAAGTACGAAAGCCCTAGCCCTCACCGTTCAAAAGTTATGGTCAAGGTTAAAGTTTTTTCATAAGTATGTAAATCTCCAAGGTCAAGGTCAAAAGGTCAAGGTTGTTGGTATCCAATGAATTGTCTTGCAACAAGAAATACATATGTGAAATATGAAAGTCCTAGTATCTACTGTTTAAAAGTTGTGACCAAGGTTAAAGTTTTTTTTTAAGTAGTTAAAACTCCAAGGTCAAGGTCAAAGGGTATAAGTTCTTGGTATCCAATAAAAGGTCTTCTCACAAGGATTACATATGTGAAGTACGAAAGCCTTAGTCCTCACCGTTCAAAACTTATGGTCAAGGTTAACGTTTTTTCATAAGTACGTAAATCTCCAAGGTCAAGGTCAAAAGGTCAAGGTTGTTGGTATTCAATGAAAGATCTTGCCACAAACAATACATTTGTGAAATATGAAAGTCCTAGTACCTTCCATTTAACAGTTATGGCCAAAGTAAAAGTTTGAAATTTCTGTGTAAAAGTGGGTCAAACTCCAAGGTCAAGGTCAAAAGGTGAAATTTGGTGGTACCCAAAGAAAGGTCTTGTCACAAGGAATAAACGTGTGAAATATGAAAGTCATAGCTCAACTAAATCAAAAGTTATGGGCAAGGTTAAAGTTTTTGTGACGGACAGACTGACAGACTGACGGACAGACAAATGAGATTTAATGTCCCCTCGCTTTCGCGAAAGCGGGGGACAATAAAAAGTAATTTCCTATGGACTTTTAAGCCAAATATTAATGTCGGTAAAAATTAAAATCTATATTTAACAAGCAAATTCAAAGAATTGGGGTCCCCCGCTTTCGGTGTCTTTGTGGGTGAGATGTTATTTTTTATAACATATTGTGTGTAATATGAGCATCTTATCATATATCATTTATTTAGAAAGTAACATTGAAGTTGATTTTTTTTTGAAGGATGAAAACCCTAATCCTGACCGTTAAAAAGTTATGGAAAAGCAAAAAATTTTTTTAAAGTAAGTCAAATTCAAGGTCAAGATCAAAGGGTCAAAGGTATTGATATCCAATGAAAGGTTTTCTCACAAGAATAACATATGTGAAGTATGAAAGCCCTAGTCCTTACTGTTCAAAAGTTATGGTCAAGGTTAAAGTTTTTTCATAAGTACGTAAATCTTTAAGGTCAAGGTCAAAAGGTCAAAGTTGTTGATATCCAATGAAAGGACTTGCCACAAAGAATACATAATTATGTGGAATATAAAAATCCTAGTATCTACCGTTCAAAATTTGTGACCAAGGTTAAAGTTTTTAAAAAGTAGTTAAAACTCCAAGGTCAAAGTGTAAAAGTTGTTGGTATCCAATCAAAGGTCTTCTCAAAATAATTACATATATGAAGTACGAAAGCCCTAGCCCTCACCGTTCAAAAGTTATGGTCAAGGTTAAAGTTTTTTCATAAGTACGTAAATCTCCAAGGTCAAGGTCAAAAGGTCAAGATTGTTGGTATCCAATGAAATGTCTTGCCACAAGGAATAAATATGTGAAATATAAAAGTCCTAGTATCCACTGTTTAAAAGTTGTGACCAAGGTTAAAGTTTTTAAAAAGTAGTTAAAACTCCAAGGTCAAAGGGTAAAAGTTGTTGGTATCCAATTAAAGGTTTTTTCACAAGGATTACATATGTGAAGTACGAAAGCCTTAGTCCTCACCGTTCAAAAATTATGGTCTAGGTTAAAGTTTTTTCGTAAGTACGTAAATCCCCAAGGTCAAGGTCAAAAGGTCAAGGTTGTTGTTATCCAATGAAAGGTCTTGCCACGAACAATAAATATGTGAAATATGAAAGTCCTAGTACCTACTATTCAAAAGTTATGGCCAAAGTAAAAGTTTGGAATTTTTGTGTAAAAGTATGTCAAACTCCAAGGTCAAGATCAAAAGGTCAAATTTGGTGGTACCCAAAGAAAGGTCTTGTCACAAGGAATACACATGTGAAATATGAAAGTCATAGCTCCACTAAATCAAAAGTTATGGGCAAGGTTAAAGTTTTTGTGACGGACAGACTGATAGATTGACAGACTGACGGACAGACGGACAGACAGACAGACGAATGAGATTTAATGTCCCCTCGCTTTCGCGAAAGCGGGGGACAATAAAAAGGAGCTAGTGAAGGTTTGATTTTAATCAGACTGGACAAAGCTACTCTTAACTTTTTCATGTTTATATAAGTTTATATGTGTAAGAATACTGTGTCGCCGAGGCTGGGAATTTATTGATTATCTATTTTATTCATTCTTTCCATTAATCAATTACTATAGCAGGATCCTGAGAAAAGAACCTGTATATAAATTCTTTAACTTGTTCCTGTAATATTCTGCCTAAGCTTCTGGCTCTAGCTCTGTCTTTCGGACAATATTTTCTTTTACTACCTAATCAAGTGAATTTTGTTGTTTTATTAGAGATTTAATATTTTCATCTAGGCTATTCTGTATGTGTTTTCAGTTTTTCTTATCTTTTCAAACCGATCTATTGACCGGTCAATAGACAGCGCGTTCTATTGACCGGTCAATAGACTGCGTGTTCTATTGACCGCTAACGTATTTCGGAAAAAAAAACCGATACGGGTTTCGAATTTAGTTGTTTGTAACAATGCACAGACATGGTAAACAATCATCTTATTTGATCTTTCGACATTGGTTTTAAAAATTGTATGATTTCAATGGTCGGGTATTTTATTTAATGAGAGTTACTTTCATTAATACACTGTGGGACGTTGAGACCGATCCTTTGGTGAGACCTATAAACCGAGGTCCCTTGTAGCAGTAGGTGCTCTGCTGGCACGAAAAAGGTCCCTCTCCACCGGGAAATGGTGACGTCTCCATAAGAGTGAAAAAATTTCGAGAGGAATGTAAACAATATCTATACAATCAATCTTTAATTAATATTACAGATGCACCCTATCTAGGTATACAGTACATTCACAATATGGTACAGGAACCTTCTGTACTGAATATACAATTGTGAACACTTAATACGGAAAATAAAATTAGGTAATAAAACAATTATTTAATGCCTGATTAGTCAATAGACCAGAAAATTTTTCCCTCGGTGCAGGGAACAGCTCAGTGTGTTCTATTGCCCTCGGCCGCTGGCCTCGGTCAATAGAACACACTGAGCTGTTCCCTGCACCGAGGGAAAAATATTCTGGTCTATTGACTGCTCAGGCATTAAATAATTGTATATTAATGATGGTACATTCCTAATCTAGCTCTGTTCGGTGATAGGGATTTTTTAAACCAGGTTTATACATGTAATAATATAAAAATGTATAGGAGTTTTCTGAAATGTTCACAGTGATAATAATTATATTGATTATTCAATCTCTGATATAATTAAAATTTCTGCATGAAATTACATGCTTAATAAGCATACTATGATGAAGAGACATACTTACTAAGTAATATAGATAACTGCCAGTCAATTGCTAGAGATTCATGTAGAGTTTCTAGAAGGTATAAGTAAGCCCCCCTTGGCGTGAATGTACAAAGGCCTAAATCTGATGGCAAAGGCTCACATCCTTGTTCCAACAAATCCACGATGTCATGATCCTTATGACTCAAATGCAGGCCCTGATATAAAACATTGATTTTATTTAGATTTTAAAATTTTATATTTATAAAGAAAATGTCAATATTGACACAAATTTCATTTCAAGACTGTAGTGCAGAGGGTAGAGCATTTGCTCTAGATGGTGTTGTGGAGTTAGGAGTTTATCCCTTCATCATGGTTTCAAATCCCACTGCAGGATGCAGACTGCATGTATATGTTCTTGAGATGAGACCATAATAATAAAATTACGAATCAAAGTCCTAGCTGTGTTGCAGTATAGCTATGGTCTTTGCATGAAAAAGAACAATCATTATGGTCCTGAGTACCAAGTAATATAGGTATAAATTTGCAGGCCTCCACTGTTGTCTCATTGAGATTCATAGAGACTAAAAATTTTAAGACGTCGGACCAAAATTTCTGAGATTATCCTCTTAGGCCTTAGTGCTGACCTCTCCATATAGGCCAAAGTGAAACAAGAGGCCCATGGGCCACATTGCTCACCTGAGCACAATTGGGCTAGGTAAACACACAATTCAGCTCAGTCATGATTTGAGCAAATTTGAATCTACACCGTCTATGGATGATCTCACACGAGTTTCATCTCTCCTGGCCCAGTGGTTCTTAAGAAGGAGATTTTTCCTATATAAAACTTTGATCGTCCATTGTGACACCACCCTACCCCCTGGGTCACAATTTGAACAGACTTGAGTGTACACCACCTGAGGATGATTCCACATGAGTTTCATCTTTCCTGGCCCAGTGGTTCTTGAGTCTGAAGAAGATTTTTAAAAGATGTCATTAATTATTCACTTATTTATTATCTCCCCTCAAAAGAGGATGTGGTCCAGGGGTCCTTCATTTAAATAAACTTGAATCTCGTTCACCTGAGGATACTTTGTGGTAAGTTATTAGTTTGGTTGAAATTGGCCTGATGGTTCCTGAGAAAAAGTTGAAAATGTGCATATGATTAAAAGTTTACCACAATGCCAACCACAATGATGACGAAAGACAACGGACAAATTTGGATCAGAAAAGATCACTTGAGCCTGTGGTTCAGGTGAGCTAAAAATTCGTGAAAACTGAGGAACATAAAACAAGCAAGTTCCAACAAACAAAACTTACACGAGTGGCTATGTATGGGAGACTAACTTTACACTGCTCTAATGCCAAAGGACAATATGCCGGTCCCAAGACTATATTACTGCTCTTTGCTGCTGTTTGGAGCATACAACCATGTTTCTACAAAGATATCGTAAGACCTAGTAATCTCATACATGTATGTGCAACAAAAAAAAAATAAAATAATCTGTAATCCGAATTTTCTCTAAGGATTTACTCAATGAATGAACAATTATGATTTATTATCAATAAAATCAACTTACAGAGAAATGCTTTGTAGATAAACTCCTATTAAGATTGTTACTTAAAATACATCGAGGTATCTGCGATATTCCTCTTACAGAACGTAACTTTGATTTCAGCATGTTCGTCAAAGCTCTGCACGCGTGAAATAAAGTTAGGTGTGGGTAAATATGGGGCTTTATTATCGAGCCGTGCCGTAAAGCAGATGAAAGACGGAGAAACAAAAGTTAACTTTTTTTATCAACATGTCCATAAGAATCAATTCTTTAATCTCAGCGAGATGTCGTAGGGACTAAAATATTTGGTCGGACGTCCACTACGACATCTCAGTCCACTGCCACACAAAGTGATTAGGGATTTTTTGCTCAGATTTTGACCGCTTGTTTCAATCAATATGGGCTGAAATGAATTATCTGCTCGCTTCAACTTTTTCCTTTGAACATCCCTTTAAGTCTCTATCACAATAAAACTTTCCTTTCTTACCTTTAAAATGTTTAAATCCAACAAAATATAAAGTTGTTTATTTTTCCTATGTAATGTCCTATTCATTTAAACCTCCGATTTTGAAGAGTTCCACAATAGTCTGCTCAGAATTATTCGTTCTACTACTATTTCCTATAGGAATGAATATAGTACGAATTATTCAAAGCAGACTATTTTGGAACTCTTCAAAATCGGAGGTGTAAATGAATAGGACATTACATAGGAAAAATAAACAACTTTATATTTTGTTTGATTTAAACATTTTAAAGGTAAGAAAGGAAAGTTTTATTGTGATCAAAGGAAAAAGTTGAAGCGAGCAGATAATTCATTTCAGCCCATATTGATTGAAACAAGCGGTCAAAATCTGAGCAAAAAATCCCTAATCACTTTGTGTGGCATTGGACTGAGATGTCGTAGTGGACGTCCGACCAAATATTTTAGTCCCTACGACATCTCGCTGAGATTATCAATTCTTGTGTGGGAATATGGGTAGTGGTAGGCAAATAGGCCAGACAGGTAGCATTAAGGGGGTGGGTCCTCCCCCCATTTTTTTTTTACACGGAAATCTGTAAAATATAATAATATATCATTTTGTATTTTGAGAGGCTGGTAAAAAATCGGCCTCCTACATGTTTTGTAGTATAATCAAATTATTACTAAAGCCCATTGAGCTCATTTTCGTAGGTTAAAAAAATCGCTCTATAACGCGAAATTTTCGCGAATAAGAGTCATGAGAGTAAAATTTTCGCGTGATATCGCGAAAGTTTCGCGTTATATCGCGTAACTTTCAAGTAATATCGCGAAACTTTCGCGTTATATGGCGAAATTATAATCTCAGACAAAGACTTTGGAGATGTAAATATATGTATATAGAAGTATGTAACCCAATAACCTTTGATATCTTGACCTACAAATATAAAGGAACACGAACGTACGCAGACGGGGACTTCTATGAATTCATAAATGACATTTCTCAGAAGATGCAAAGGAGAACTGATGCAAGAATAATTATTTATATAAGTAGATTAGTCCAAGTTCATGAAACTGAAAGCTTTTCGTCTTTCATTGTAATGAAAAAACTTGATCATAATTAAAATCAAATGTAAATGTCTTGGTATAACAGTAAAAGTTTCACGTTTCGTGCTTATTCGCAAAAGTAACGAGTTATTATTATAACTCGGAAGTTACGCGTTAATTTGCAAAAATTTTGCGATATAACATGAAATTTAAGTTACGTGCTTATATTTTTAGTTTCACGTTGTAACGACGAAAGCCTATTAGGATCAATCTAGAAAGAAAAAAAAATTAAAAGGCGTTATAAGGCCTTTCAAAAAGGCGTAATAACGCGGAAAAAGGCATTATAACGCCTTTTAAAGAGGCGTAATTACGCCTTTCCATTCCAAAAGGCATTATTACGCCTTTTTAAAAGGCGTTATAACGCCTTTCTAAAAGGCGTTATTATGCCATTCCATTCTAGAAGGCGTTATTACACCTTTCCAAAAGGCGTTATTATGCCTTTCCAAAAGGCGTTATTACGCCTTTCCAAAAGGCGTTATGGGCACCTTTTGGAAAGGCGTAATAACGCCTTTTAGAAAGGCGTAATAACGCCTTTTAGGAAGGCGTAATAACGCCTTTTAGAAAGGCGTTATTAAGCCTTTTAAAAAGGCATTATAACGCCTTTTGGAATGGAAAGGCGTAATAACGCCTTTTTTCGCGTTATAACGCCTTTTTAATTTTTTTTCTTTCTAGATTGATCCTAATAGGCTTTCGTAGTAACGCGAAAGTGAATTCCGCGTTAATAAACGAAAGTTTCGCAATATAACACGAAAGTTACGCATTTGAACGCGAAGGCTTCGCGTAATTTCGCGAAAATTCCGCGTTTGTTCGCAAAAATTCTGCGTTTATTCGCGAAAGTTTCACGTTATAACACGAAAAATTAATTAATTTTGATAACCTTTGAAAATGAGCTTAATGGGCTTTTGTAAAATAAAGATAATGTGAATTTGGTACTATGAAAAAGAGCCCCCACCACCACCACCACATACACACAATACACACATGCGCGCGCGAATTATGATTTTCAAGATTGGACATTCGTCAATTTTTATTTTTATATATATATCATAGGCGTCGGAACCGGGGGGGCTAGGGGGGGGCTCCCCCCCACTTTTTTTCCAAATATATACATACTATAGACATAGAACCTTGTTTCGTAGGTTTAGCCCCCCCCCCACTTTCCACAGACACCTCGCAGTATAGGCTAAAAATGGGTAGTAAAGTTTTGTTGTTCGAACTAAGGTTGGAACCCCAAACCCCCCCCCCCCCCCCCCCCTCAAATTGTTTTTTCGCGTTTGGTAAACGGAATTTTTTTTTTTTTTTTTTTTTTTTTTTTTGCTTGTCAGGTTTTTTTGAAGGTAAAAAAAAAATTTATTACACTTAGCCCCCCCACTTTCAATTTGCTTCCGACGCCAATGTATATATATTTTTGGCTTGTCAGATTTTTTTCAGATTAGTTGAATTTTTCTTGCTCCCGCTATCTAAGATTCGGAGGCATAGAGCTTTTGTCCTGGCTGTCCGTCCGCGGCGTCTGTCTGTCTGCAAAAACTTTAACCTTACATATAATTTTTGAGTGGGTGAGGCTATGATTTTCATATTTTACATATGTATTCCTTGTGATAAATCATTTCTTATGGTAATACCAAATATCATGATCTCTTGACCTTGACCGAGGAGTTTGACCCACATTTACAATAAATTTTCAAACTTGAATCGTGGCCATATTGACTTAATAATTTTGAACAGTTGCTGCTGGAGCTTTCATACTTCACAAGTGAAATCATTGTGTAAAGACCTTTCATTGGGTGTAAATATTTTTGACCTTGACCCTGAGTTTGACTCACCTTAAAAGACTTTAACCTTGGCCATAACGTTTTAACAGTTAGAGTTTCCTACTGAATCACAGGTGTATTCCTCGTGACAGGACCTTAAATTCCTAAATGGATACCAACAATTTTGACCTTGACCGTGGAGTCTGACTTTCATTTCAGAAATAGCCCTCGCTATACGCTGTCATGCGGGGGCAACAGTGCCTCACAAACACATCTGGTTTTTCTCTCGCTGTCCCATCACAAAAACAAACACATTGAAAAACAATGCTTTAAGAAATAAGATCTGGACAACTAAAAACGTGACATCTGTTTTCTAGATATCGTATATATGTTGGAAAAACTAAAAGGGGGCATGTAACAACAAACCTAAGAAAGATATTAATGCATTAAGCAATTAATTTAGCAAGTGATATTACTTTTTATTATTTGCCAAACGATTGCGATTTTGGTGCAGACAAGTTACAAGTATGGATTTTGAAAGGGGGGGGGTCAACTTACATATACCTGAAAAAACTCTAATAAACAAAGAGAAAGAAAAGTAAAACTCAACAATCCTATTTCGGGGAGGGGGTCCAATTTCTCTCATTACCAAATTTTATTCATACCACCATATATATTTTATTATTACCTTACTTGGCTGTATTTCAACAAAAAGTGGGCGTGGAAGAAACTAAGGCCTATTAATGAACATTTTAAATTTGAAGTGGCGCCCCACACCTAAATTCAAAGTGCCTAGTTGTTCTTAATGTCGAAGCATATATATGTAATCAAAGATGGCAAAACTCACCTCGACACATGTTATCTATAACTAAGGTAAATCTTACATCATATTTTTATGCCCCCGTTATTGAAGATTCAGGAGTATAAAGTTTTGGTAATGTCCGCCCGTCTGTATACAGCTTTTAATTCTGTTCGCAAAAACCAAATTGCCCTTAATTTTTGACTTGATTGGTTGGAACTATATCTGGCTTTCATATGATATTTTACATGTGTATTTCGTTTGACAAGGCATTTCTTTGGGTACCAAAATGTTTGACCTCTTGACCTTAAAGTTTGACCCACTTTTGCCATGTTCACTCTCCTCATGAGGAGATATCGTAACCGTAAATTAAGATGACTTTTGCAAGAATTTACTAAACTTTAAACCTCAGCCATAACTTTTGAACAGTAGGTGCCAGGGCTTTCATACTTAACACGTGTATTTATTTTGACCTTTCCAGGGATATAAATATTTTTTCACCCTGACCATTCAGTTTTACCCCCTCTAAAAAATAGAACCCTTCGACATAACTTTTGAGGTTAGTACATGCATGTACTAGGGTATTCATATTTAACAGGTGTATTCCTTGTGACAAGACTTCCTTTTGATATCAACAATTTTGACCTTGACCTTAAAAAAAACCGTTAACTTTGGCCATGAAAGTTGGTGCTAAGGTTTTAATATTTTACATGTATTTCTTCTGATAAGGTATTCCCCTAAGAAATTGACCCACATTTTAAAAACGTTAGCCTTATTCATAACTTTTGAATGGTTAGAGCTTAGGCTTTCATATTTCACAAGTAAATTCAATAAGAACAGTCCTTTTCTTTCGATAACAATTTTCATCTCTTGACCTGGGAGTTTGATTTTTATTTGAGAAACTTTAACCGTTGTCAAATGCTGCAAAAAAAAAGGGGGGGGGGGTCAGTGTTCTACAAACACATCTTGCTTTCTAGTTAGAGTGTATCCCAAGCTCAATATCCATGCAAGTTTTGTTTAAATAGAACGTATCATAGTTACTTGGGCCTGCTGTTAAAACTTTGACCTGTCAAGAAAATCTTGATATGTTCCATTGTCCAAAACAAGAGCCCTTGGGCCACATCACTCATCCGAGTAACTTTGGCCATTCTGTTCTTTAACAGTTTTCCCCCTAAATGTAATACCTATAGCAACCATGCCCACCCCCTGGGTCATGATTTGAACAATTTAGAATCTACACTATCCCATGATGCTTCCATTCAAGTTTCAGCTTTCCTGACCCCGTGGTTCTTGAGATTTTTTAATGACCCCACCTTATTTTGTCTTTTCTTGATTACCTCCCCTTGAAGGAGAACTTGGCCCTTCAAGGGGAACTTGGCCCTTCATGTTAATAATTTAAACTCCCCTTTCACCCAACGATGCTTTGTACCAAATTTGGTTAAAATTAGCCCAGTGGTTTCTGAGAGGAAGTTGAAAATGTGAAAAGTTTATAGAAGGACAGACTACAGACAATGGGTGATCAGAAAAGCTCACTTGAGCTTTCAGCTCAGGTACGTGAGCTAAAAAGTTTTGAAGTGTCCATCTTTAGATGCTTCATCCATGCAAGTTTAATCAAATAATATAATTCTAGACACATTCTGTAGCCAATATGTATATTTAATCCACCTCCCAACCATTTATAGCTGTCTCTACAGGCAATAAACTCGCTTGAAGTGAATTTTCAGCAATCTAACGAATAATTTTAATCAAGCGAGTTTATCACGTGTAAAGACGACTATAAAGGGTTGTTAGATGGATAAATATACAGATCAGTTAAATAATGTGCCTAGAATGAGGGAGTGAAAGGTAGTTAATTGACCGATGCTGGAAAGTGGAGAAATTCTCACCAAAAGTGCGCAAAAAATATTGCGCTGTAAATTGCACGTTTTTTGCATTAAGGAATCTGTAGCGTTATGGTCAAAGACAAATATATAAAACCATAACGCTCATATCTGCAGCTAAGCTCCAGTTAGCAGCTACGCTCCAATTAGATCGCTACTTTATGTAGCCATCTATCTAGAGCGGAACAAAGATCTAATTTAATTAGATTGCTCATCGGGAAAATGTTTGTCAGATAAAACATCCAAAGCAAGTCTGCAAGTGTCCATCTTCAGATCAAAATCATTGCTAATTTGGATAAAAAAATTTCAACACTGAGTAATCTGAAACTATGGTTCAAATCAAGCATCTGAAGCAGGTTCAGGGTACTGTTGATTCTTACATCGTCTATGCAGGTTTGGTCCAGGTAGGGCTTATTGTGACTTGGGAATAGAACTGCTTCAAAAACTTAATTGTTGGCACTTATTTGGAAAATGAAGTCAGATCCTGCATCCTAATCAAGTCTTGTAGTTTTTATTCCTAAATGCATCACCCTTTCTAGTTTGATCCAGGTAAGGGCTTAAGCTTCTAGATACTAGTAATTGGGAATGGACTTACTCTAAATACTTTAACATAGTCACCCATCTGGAAAATGTTGGTCTAATCCAGCATCTCCCTAGATGATACATCATTGCAATTTGGTCAAGGTACAGCTTGGGAATACAACTCATTTATAGGTCAGATCCAGCATCCAAAGCAGATCTATTAGTGTCCATCCCTAGATGCATTATTCCTGCAAGTTGGGTCCATGTAGGGCTTAATAGTATATTTTCTAATGGACTTGCAACTAAAACTTCAACTGGAACACAGATGCTAATGCTGACAATCACCAACTCTTGATATTTGATGTGATATGAACTTTTGACAATTCGAAGTTTTAAACAGTAAAGCCACAAAATTACTCATATAATTTATGGGGTTATTTTCCTTACGAAAATAGTTCTAGTGTGCACAGCTGGAGTGAGCAGTTTTGCTGAAAAATACTATTGCAGTTATACATGTATAGATGTAATGCAATTCAACAACATTGATAAGAAAACAATTATCACAATTTTATTGTAAACACAAATGTTTTCTCATATTTACACATTTTTTAGCACTATTTGTCCAACATTGTCTCACTGGTCTTTTCAATTACAGATATCAAACTCTAAGTAGTTTCTGTAGATTTAATCTGTGTCTGACTTTCCTGCAAGCTCGGATATTTTCTGCTTGTGCCTCTTGATAGCCTCCTGGAAGGAAATAAAAATGTTAAGTTTTAAGTATGATTCACTGAAATAGAATAAGATAAAAATCAATATAAAACCTAATCAGATTTTGCTGAAATATGCTTACTTTCCAGCATTTGAAATGAGATGTTTGCATACTGTTCATAGGCTCTCATATTTTTAACACAATGGTGCCTAAATCTGACCTTGACCTCTGTATAATCTTTATTTTCATGTGTAGTTTATAGATAATTGTAAAGTTAATGTCAAAGAGACATATTACATCACAAATATATGTGTTCCTTGACCATGAAGATCAGAAAAAATAAAATAAAAATGTCACCAATATACCTAGTGATGGGTAAAATAATAAAAATGTTAAGATTTAAAAATTGAAAGATATTCAATTAGTTTGCCTATAAGACTATTTTTGATAAACATACATATTATACATAATTTCTATTTCAAAATGCCACAAAAATATTAATACTGTTTAAATGCAGAATGTTAATATTGCAAAAATATCTACTATACTGTACATACATCCACAACATTAAGCCATGCAATGTGTAAACATAGACTACTAGACGATTAAGCATCCTGGGTCTCGGCACCAATGCAAAGCATGCAGTGTTAAGGAATTGATAATCTGGGTTACACAAACTTGTACGAATAAAATGGGAAACAAGGACTTCTTTCAAACTTTAAACATTTAGAAAAAATTGACTTTCTTTTTTTGAAAAGATATTACCAAAACAAAAATATATACAATCCAAACTAAAGCACATCACACACAAGTGCAAAACCAAACCAAATATAAAGCAACAGAGAAGGATTTCTGTCATTTCATTTAAATTATTAGCACTAGCCTTCTGGTAATTAAAGTTTTAATTTCAATCAACGATTCATTCAGTACCTGTCATTTATCTAGCATTTAGTGTAGAAGTACAATTTAAATCACTTAAGGGAGTAAGGCCACAAAACCCACACTTATTTACTAAACCTGTAGTTTCAATATCTAGCTAATACTGCCAGTTCCATGCTTAAGACTCATAAGATGCTCATTAAGCAATTCAGTTGAAATACCCTTGAAGAACATACAAATTGAAACAAATATTTTGCATGTCCCTATGGTCTGACTTTAGTTTCATTTACCTTGGTCCCCCTATTTCACATTTAAATTGCCTTTTGATATATCCCCTTCCACTTGTTCCTCATTTTTTTTGTTTTTTGAAAACTCCTTCAGAACACCACTATCCCACTAAATTAACCCTATGGAGTGGACTAACCTGGTGTTCTTTAATAATTCTCTCATGATGATTCACCTCCTCATCAAGGTGGTCTTTCAAAGCCTTCAGTTGCTGAGCATTCTAGTGGGAAGAAAGGAAAGGAAAGCCATAAAAACTGCTAAAATATTGGACTTTCAAGACTTTTGCAGAATCCAGGCTAGCAAAGGACCCAATGACTATCAGATATCTCACTGCAAGAAAATGTCTCATACTGCGCAAAAGTATGGCTATTTATGAGAGTGCAGAATCTTGCTAACCAATATGCAAGGAAACTGCAACTGAAGAGAGCAAAATTTTTATAGATATTCATATGAATTATCATAAAACGTTACAATACAGAGAGATAACTAATTTTGGTTAAACTGTTTTTTCACCAACGGAAAATATTTTTTAATGTAGTTTGATTTCACTTGATTTTTTCAAGACTGGAATTAATAGGTAAAGGCTTTAAAATGATTAATCAATTACCATAACTTGTACACTGCATTATTTAAGGAAGCTGCAAGGTAGGAAATTATATATGGAGACCCACACTGGTAAGTTTGGTGGGTCACCCTTTACCGCATTAGATACTACTATGTTGTTTGTGCCTATCAAGAGTAAGCCCTGTTAAACTTTTCACTGTTGTTAAAAAAGTTAATTTAAATAACAAAATGCTAAAATGTCATTGAAAAGAAAAGAATGATTGATATGCTTCATGCAGATAGGCACATGACAACAGTGCACTAAGATTTATGTGAAAACATATCACCATGGTTACATGGCATGATAACCCCTGACCTGATGACTGCGGACTTCCTTTTCAAGGATATTGATCTCCACACTTAAGTGTCGCCTCAATTCTTTGAGCTGCTGCTTTTGCTAATTTACAACCAAACATATGATAGAGAATACAATTTATGGAAGAAAATGCTGTAAAATCACTAATTTTTGTGGGAATTTAATTTTCGTTGTTTTCAAGGTATGGTGAAACTCAAGAATAATTATATTATTTATGACCACCATCAATTGTAAAATTTCATAGTAGTTACTAATTAACTTTTCCCAACCACAAAATCAAATCCCCACAAACAATATTTTTTCCTCAAACCTCCAAAATCTGGCCCCACAAAAATGTGATTTTACAGTAAAAAATTCTGTATATACTAGGAAAAGGATACATGTACTAAAAAATCTCCCTCCTATAAATAAAATATTTTTTGGTACTTTTAATCTATTACCGAATCTTGAAGGTCAACATTGGACCATTTTGAAGAGGAAATAACAATTATTTAAAAATTAAAATTTTTTTTTTTTTTTTTTTTTTTTTTAGATATAAACATTTAGTATCTATAAAAATCAAATGGGCCTCACCAGTCGTCTGATATATTCCTCTTCTCTGGCAGCCTCTATCTTCCCGAATGTGCCACCTGCCTCTCTGCAAAAAACAAATGAACAAACTGTTGAGTTCAAGCAGTCTGCCACAGTATAACATACCAGTGGTCAGTTTATGTTTCATTTAGTCAATCATTGGAACACTGAACAAGGAAATCTTGAGCTTGGAAACCAGAATTTATACTGAAAAAAAATTTAAACGACCTTCTGAATATTCAATTTAGAAAAAAAATTTGATACTTATATTCTGTGACGAAAGGTGCCTAAGAAAATGATCATTTTTTCTTTTTTGAATTTTTTTTCTTTTCAATACAGGCTGCACACAGAGAAAATTGTTTTTAAGTTTGAGAGCAGGATCAAACTTTCTTAAATATCATCCATTGTTTCAGACTTATTACAGTAAAACACGGTTATAGCGAAGTCCTGGAGACATGTGAATTTAATTCGCTATATCTGTAATTCGTTATATCCGTATAACAAATTCGTATAACCATATATAGTGAATTCGCAATATGAATGTTTTCCTTCAAGTGTTACTATCAAATATGTTAGGGAAGCAAATATTACAAAACATACCTTCGATAACTAAGGTTTTATTATGAATTGAATTTTATATACAAATGCTGAGAGAAAATAAAGTCAGTTCCATTATTCAAATTTTGAAATCTTTGAAAGTTCGTTATAAAAGTGTAAAATTCATTATATTTAACCTCCAAGGGACTCAAAATCAGTTCGCTATATCCGTAAATTCGTTATATCAAAGTTCGTTATAATTTTACAAAGATTTGTTAAGAATTTTGCCGGGGACCCAGAAAAACTTCGTTATATCCGTGAATTCTTTATATCCGTGTTCGGACTAAACGTGTTTTACTGTATTATGATATCTAATCTCAGTAAGACTTGTTGAGACTAAAAACATTGATCTGATATCTCTTCCTCAGATTCAGAGATGTCAGTCAAAAAAAAAAATTTGTGTCAAGGAATCTCGCTGAGATTAGGATACCAATAACCAAATACATGTACCATTGAATGTCATATTAAGTCGGATTTATATATAGACCTGATTGTGCCTCCAGTTCCTCCCCCTTTGCCAGCACCACCACCGAGATCGTTACCCATCATTCTACAGCTGAAAAACAAATCAGAGAATTCTTAGAAACAGAAAATTCAAGTATCATCTCGTATCCTGTTTTGGACTTTCGACCTATTTTTCACAATCTGCTCCCCGTGCAGATACCGTACAGTACAGCATTATTTTCCATTGCTACACTTGGAAAAATATCTTTTAAGCACAACTGTAGTGAATATACCCAAAATAATTAATGCAACAGATTTCCCCCCCATGGTTTTAGTCCGATGTCAGAAATTCTAGTCTTTTTACTAATGCACATTTTACATGTTGATTAATCAAATAATTAACAAGATTTTTTAATGACATTTTTCCAGAAGAAAATCAAGATCTCTGTTAAAGAGATGCATGAATATTTAAATGAATGGGTGGATCAAGCAAATTTTTTTTCTTCCTTAAATATGGGCATTTTCTTACAGATTTTCACTGAATAATGCAACATGATTTCATTGAAGTTTTTTGGACATGCACAGCTACTGACAGATGGGTTTAAACAACAAATAAAAATTAGGGATGTGCGATCTTATCGGTATACCGGTATATCACGATTTTTTGTTGTGTGATATGTATCATGATACGGAGACCTAAATACCGTTCTTTAGGTACATATTATAAAGTCCAGAAATTATTCATTTATTTGTTCAATCTTTCAAATTACAATTACAGAAAGTATAAAAAATGTTGTAAAAAAGTGAAAAGAACAGCATCTTACCGTCCAAACATAATTGATTTTATACACATAAAAATTTCAAAAAAGTAAAATTTTGTTTTTCTAGCATATTTTTTAGAAAAATAATGACTTTTCATATAAAATCATTGTTAAAACTGCTTTTAAAAATATCATGATATTATCATGATATTGTGGGGAAAAAATCATGATATATCGTGATACGAAACTTTTGGCGATACCCATCCCTAATAAAAATTTTTGCAACCAAACTACCCGACTTGTTCAATGTTTTTTTTTTTAAAGATAGACAGTCATATTCTTATTGTTTGGAATATCAAACTGATATTTAAAACCAATACTGACTGGGTGTTCATACTTCATTTAGGTTGAAAACACAAGATGCCAATATTTTTGTAAGGAAAACTATACCCTCCACATATTATGGCATACAAATGAAATAAAGACAAAACTGCAATTTGGGTTATATTATTTTATTAAACAGGCACATATGCTATACTTATAAGCCTTTATTTTTTCAGATTCTGTAAAGTTTGAAATAAATTAATAAAACGCATCTAAATAGGTCGAAAATACAGTACGCCAGGATACAGCATGAGCAATCAGAGGAAATTCGAAATGTAAATACAAACCACTCTCAGATGTCAGCACTCTCCTATCTCTACAATAAAGTTTTAGACATGACCAAAAAAAAGTTTAAATTCATATTCATATATAAAGTTATAATTGCATCACTTTGTGTTACAATTTGCAACTTATTGAGAGTTCACCTTGAACTATTCGGTTTTCTATTTAGATTGCAATTTGTCTGGATGCAAAAACAATACCCTGTAAATTATAAAATGTGATTACGTTCTAATTTACAACTTGTTATTAACCTTACCCGATTAAGCAAAAATTGCGTGACAATGACTGCAGTCCGTAAAGACGTAAAGTCATGTTTTTCTGCTTTCTCGAGTTTTCTCAGGATATAAATTGGTTGATGCTACCGAGAACCAGTTTAAATCACACCATAAAAATAAAACCGGAACGGATAGAATTTTGATATACGAATTGGGTTGTGGAGAATGTTTTAGCATGATGACCGAGACGCAAAAGTGTTTTGTTTATGTCCCGTCCTTCCGTTAATTTAATTTTAAAGAAACTGTTTTGAGTCAAGATATTCTAATTTTATCAAACCTTGCACATGATACATTAGTCCACTATGCAACCTACCGGTAATTGATTTTTTTTTTACCTTGACCTTTCCTTTGACCTTACCTTGTCTTTACTTAGTGTTCAACATACTTTCAATGAAACTACTGAGTCAATTTTTTTTAACAAACCTTGTATACATGTATATGTACATTTAGTGAGAATACATAATTGTAGCAACTTCCATTTTAATTTTTAACCTTTAATAATAGTTAGTCCTTCCTTTGACCACATAATCACTTTTTCATTGTGTTTAGTAAAGTTTCAAAGAAATTATTCATGATGCTTCATCAAACTTTATATGATGATGAGAGCCTATTTTTTTTTTGACTTTAACACCTTTGAACTTGACCAAACTTTTCGTAATTTAGTGGTGACCTCAATATTTGACAGTACAATGTATGATATATGCTACATAGTGATGAGGCTATTCAACTGTGACTGCTTCAATACTTAATTTCAACTTTGACCTGTCCTTTGGCCTTACACATCTGATGCCAGAAGGTCATATGACATGTTCCTTAAATAGTACTCTGAATCTATATTTTCCCCAAGAATTTGTCATTTACCTGAGTAAAGTATTGCTATTTCAATAAGTTTTCTCACGAATAATTAATATACCCTACCAGGCCTTTGTGCAAGAGGATGTTACTATAAATAGATACAATCTTTGCTTGGGTGGCACAGTGGTTAGAGCAATTGCTACAGACTGAGAGTGAAGTATCATTTCTTGGATAGTGGGTTCAAATCCCACTGCTGGACAAGGTCATTTGGGAATTGAAAGTAATCAGGAAGCTCTGATGATACATTTAAACAAAGCTCTAGAGTTGATGTCATGAAAATCTAGTGGTTTTGATTGATTTATCTTTCAACAAAAAACAGAACGAAAAATTCAATCTATATGAGACAAACAAGCTTCATGGCATTCCCCTGTTGTAAGCTGAAAATCAAGTACTGACAACTCTTGATTTTTTATACCGATACTTTTCATATTGCTGTACCTCAGAATTAATTCATAGTTGCCAAGCATATTTTTAGCACTTTCACCCATGCATGCATGAATTCAAACAATTTGCATATTGAAACTTTTTATTACAGTACTGTAATATTCTTTATATCACCAAGAATAATTGCTTCTAATTTCATAGGTATATTTGCAAATATGTAAATCAACAGAGCTACATAATATTTATCTGTCAAAAAGCGGTAGAATCTTGTACAAGTTATAAATGTGGAAAACCAAAATTGGATACCAATTCCTCGAACTTCTCATTTTAAGCCATAAATGCACCATTCCTCATTTCTGATGTATGTGGACTGAGTTTAACATACTTAATCACTGGTATATTTAAGAAGTTTATGCTGAATCTTTTAAACCATGTGGAGAATATCACGAAAAAAACATTCATCTGAGATATATACATGTAATTTGGAGTCAGCAATGTTTTAAAGAGCATCACTGAGATAGCATAATATGTTGGCTTAAACTGAAACACAAAAGATGGTCGATAATCAATGTTCCTAAACTGTTAAAACAAAGAAAAATCCTTAAAACACAAACTTGATTTTAGAAAATTTATTCATATTGCCTTATTTACTTCTATTTTCTTCTGACATATTCCTAATTGATACACTTATTTAGTCAACACTTTTCTAGTTATTTACATGTAGTATATTCTATTACACGAAAACCGCAATGTTTAGAAAAATGACATACAAAAAATATTATTTGGTTCACAATCTACAAAAAATTCTTACTTACTTGCAAATTAAAAATTCCTGAATTAAAGCATAGAAAAACATTAAATCAACAAATTCTTTTAAATGTTTCATATTTCTCATCAATATCATTTTAGCAAAAAAGATAGAAAATGGCAGTTAATTACACCTAAACACACAAACGGTGATGATAAACATTATGAATAATACACATGCGACATACTTACTCTGAGAACATGATATGACTAGTTAACAACAACTGTATTTTCACTTTCACCTCTTGCCCACATTCAATCCCCTCCTCCTCAGTTACACCTAGTCTACCTCACAACATTGAAGATTACACACATGTATATACAAACACGCTATCAACACTTAAAATGGTACTGAAACACTGTACATGTATATGATGTATGGAGTCCGGTGTTAAAAAATTACCAGGACATATTTTATAGTCGATACATAGGTCTAATACATGAATCAAGATTTTCACAGAATAAAATGCAGATAAAAGCAACCTATTACAAAAGGATATAAGAATGCATTAATTTTTTTTTTTGTCATCCTAAAAGGATGAAAAGCAGTTAAAACAATTGCAAAAAAAAATTTAAAAAATAATTGTGTAGCTTTTGAGCAAAAAAAGTTACTTAATCCTGTCAAGTGTTCATTGTTTTTGCTTTAGATGTCTCCCAGTTTAACTGTCTCTCACACACTGCACTAAATTATTCTATATGTCATAAAAAAAAAAGCTGTGTAATTTTATGCTCAAGACATGTATTTAAAATAAAATATTTATGAAGATTTTGAAAAAAAAAATCATCGAAACATTTTATATTATACATGTATGAAATTAATACTTCAAAAGGTTCAAATCGTCCCTCTCAGAGAGAAATGTACTGACACTTATCCACACACATCCATTCAAAAAACCTACTGACCAATTTTTTTCCCCCTTCCCCCTTTCTCCCCCCCCCCTTTTTTTTTTTTTTTACAGTTTTTAATATTTGGAGGTACAAAAAATTAAACAACATACAATGTCAGATTTTTTGCTTAATGCAATAAATTTCTGTGAGAAAGGGATGCATTTTACATCACAAAAAATATATACTGTAGTATTAAAGATATATGCAATTTCTTTTGTTAATTGCCATATTTTAAACTTCAGAAAGTTATTGTTGGATGGTATGCTTCTTAAAAATGTCACTTTCATAATCTTTTTATGCCCAAATAACATGAAAAAGTAAGTTAAAAGTAATTTGAGCTGCATGTTGATTGTCTAGGAGGCCGCCATTACCGATGTTATTTTTAACGTTCACTCATAGCTATGTCTTTTGACACATGCACCTTATCTGCCAGACAAAGTAATAAATCATTTTTTTATATGAAATACAATAAAATAAATATTAATTTTAGGTTTAAAATAACTTAATAAAATGCTGTGTAATGAAAGGAAGCCAATGTTGTGACACACGTGCGCTGGTCAAATGATAATTACCTATCAACACCCCTCGTAATTTAAAAAGCAATGTTTTTACAGTTACAGCACTGATTATTTACTGCCATGTTAATTGCTGTGATCATTTTGTTTGTTAAAAATTGGGGGTCGGTTTATGACCTGTCGTATGTGTGAGCATGGTGAGCATGTGTTGATTACGGCACTTAAACAATTAAACACTTGTTAAATGTAATTTTATCTTATACATAAATATTGAGAGTTGAGAAATGAAATATAAATTATGCTAAAACTTTTAATAAAAGTGGTATCATTTAGAAAATAAGATATCCTCTTAAGAAGAGGAAAATCGTAGTCTTCTTAAAGAAATAAATACTTTGATGTTTCAATTTCGTTTCCTGTTAAAATATTGTAAGATAATTTTAAGCATGATTATCATTAAATATGACAACTGATAAAACTTTCGACAATATCTCTTGCTTTGTTGAAATAAAATTATTTCATCTAAGAGTATGGCGTCGCATAATTTCAAAAACACCGTAACTATTCTTTTAAAAAAATCTGTTAATACTTTTACGCAACATTATCTTGTGCTTTGTTGAAATAAATGAATAAATAATTTTCTCCAATGTTTGTCAGGATAAGAGAAAGTTATAAAGTGTGTATTTTAAAAAAAGTGTGTTCAGTAAATTTTTGACACCTAATCCTCGCGCCGATTTTCGTAACAAATTACCGTGATTTTCATAGTTCAAAATCGCTTGGTAAATTTTTCTGTTGCGTAAAACAACATACAATGCAATGTCACATTTTTTGCTTAGGTCTTTTTCTACATTTTTTTTTCTTGTTTGTTGAATGTCTGATAATGACATTAGCTTGCACTGTGTGATATAAACACTAACATCCTACAAATGTATCATTTGTATGAACTACAAATGTAACAATTACATTAAAAACAATTTAACAAATGTTGAACATTTTACTCATCTTTGCAAGCAACTTTTAAAACAACCTTGTTTCTATAAATATATAATTATTTAAAATCAATCAATTTGGCAGAGGAATTAGCAAATTATGTAACACTGCAACAAACAATATTATAACCAAACAAACTGCAAAGTTTTATAAAAAAAAATTTTTATAAACAACTTATGATCTACTTGACTGAAGAAAATTTTTCTTAAATCATTCTCATTAAATAACAATTCCAGTTTTCTTTACTGCTTAAAAATATAAAAAGTTACTCAAAATAAACAAAATAAATTCAGATCCTTTCTATTTCTTTAAGCCTCTGTTGCGTGTGATGCTTCACCAGTACTTGGCCATAAGATGGTGTTCTCTTAGTTTTTCTTGACTTTTCTGGCCCTGATGCCGTTCTCGGTGGCAGTGTTCTGATCAGCCTCTGGCAGTGAGCTTATATCCTCATCTGAAGCTACATAACAATAACAATATTCAATAAACACACAAAAAAAGACAGATTTTTTTTATTTTGTTATTTCAAAGTAAAGTTCAGTTTGCTGAAAATTGAAAATCAAGGCTTTTTATGCTAATTTCATTTGCTTAGGTCAGTTGGAAATTGTTCTTCGTGTAGTTTGTCTTAGTAAAAATTCTCATTAGTATCAGAATCCCTAAGTAGACTAACCCTTAGATTTGGTTTTCTTGGGAGACCTAAGCTTTCTGGAAGCAGCTCCCCGTTCCCTCATTCTTCGGAGATGGAAGTTAATAAAGTTCCACATCATCCAGGCCTGCAGGAGACACACGGCAGCCAGACAGTTTATCCTACAAACATAAAAGAAATTCAATACATCTGATCAATCAAATTAATATATACATTTTATAAATGTTCTAAAATTGTCCTTTAAAATGAAAATGATAGTAAAAAAAGACATAAACAAAAACAATTTATCATCAATTGTACAACACTTCACATTGATCTGATGGATATTATGTTGGTTTTGTGTAATACAAAGAAGATAATGTTTGATTTTGAATACTACCTAATCATTTGAGTATTGTAATTTCCTGTCGCTACATCAATATTGGGTTGGTTGGTCTGCTCTAAACCATACCTGCAAAAATGGACAAAGATTGTATTACAATGGAACTAAGATCCATAACTTTGTCCAAAAATAACTCAATCGTACCCAAAACAGAACTTGACCTAGTAATGTTATGATAAATGAGTATACCAAATTTCATTTCAATATGTACAACCTCTGCAAAGAAAATGAACAGAAACTGATGGACCAACAGACAGCAACAAAGCAATATGCCCTCCCTTCTTTGAAGGAGGGCATAAAAAATATTTCAACTATCATTAATTTATTCTGTTTTAATGTTTGTTTTGCTGAACTTACCAAAAGGTTAAGACAGACAAGGTAATAGTTCCCAGTCTAACTAGCACAAACAGAGCATTGAAAACCATAAATCTACAAAGAAAGATTCAGTCATAATCTCTGTATTACAGATGCGTATAATTACTTCATAAAAAATAATCTAGATTTGATACTTTTTAAATCCACATTAATTTTGACACTAGATGCTTCATCTCTATAAATAAACACCACTGGAACTTCCACTATTAGAATTTATTTACAAAAATGTAAGTGTATTTAGACCTTAATATTTTGTTTTTCAAGCAATTAACAAATGCAAATAAATGGATAATTCTTAAGATTATCATGTCTTAATGAGATAGGATTGTACATGTGCAGAACTCTTACTTTTTTGCTTTTTGATTCCCCAAACACTTATTAGCTTTTATAGACTTTGATACATACCCATGATTGGCTAAGTCAGTTTTCTCAGCAAAGTACAAAAGACGAGCGAGGTGGAAGACAAATTCTACTGTGTAGTGAAGTACTATCATACAAAGGGCTACTCTGTTGAAACTAAAATGGGACAAAAAATGGCATGAAGTAGCACAAAATATTCAAATGAGAAACATAATTTTATATACTTTCTGTAGAAAGAAAATAGCTCTTCAGAGCCAAGGTTTCTTCTGATTTACCAGACTTAAAATAAATGTTATCTGACTACAACTAAATGTGTAAGTTAAATTTACAAAATCCTATAAATAAAATTCTGGAAATCCAGATTAATACTTACTTTAAGAAGAAAGCTCCAGATATGAATACAAGGTAAAGAACTGCGTACTGAATTCTTGATGACATCTCGTCCTGTTTATGACAAAGGAAAATGTTATTTTGTATTAAAAAAAATCGTAATGTAGTGAAAAATGATCCATGCTGAGTATTTCTTTCAGTCAAACAAATCTTCAGTTAAATGTAACCCAGCAGTATCATTTCAATCAAGATACACTGACATGTGGGAAAAACTATAATCAGAAGAGCTAATTCTAGTCTTTGCAGTTAGTGAGCTCATTTATGATTTTAGTCGACTGTATATCAGAGGCCTGTTCAACAGAGGGAATGTTTGCAAGCGCTCGCCAATATTCCTTATACCTCCAACAGAAATGTTTGTGAATGCTCACTCTGTTGAACAGGCCTCAGCTGACATCAACCAACATTTGTGGAAAGAACTTTTTTGCCTGCATGGCACAGTGGTCAGTGCTCCAAGTCACACTTGCTCTTAGGTCATTTGCTTTAAAGTAAAAAAAAAATACATTTTGTAAATAAAACTTGATAACTTAAATTAGGATATGTATTATGTCTTTATTATATCAAAGATTACTTATTACTGCATATGTACTGTGACTATAAAATTTTGCTAGGTTGAAAAATATAGTTTTATTGAAATTACATGTACATGTACCCTTAGTACAGAAGAACAGAAGTAAATCTGATTACAGAAATAAAATTTTATCAAATGAAAATACGAGCTTGACAGCTGTTGAGACAGGACTTTGCATGCTGTTTGTCATGTTTACTTACTACTACGTACCTAACCCATTACCCAGTCATTATAAATGCCGCCAAAACACTCTTTATTAGCATGATTCGTTGTGATATGCAAGTAATTGACCAAATACTTCAATAACAAGGTCGGATCTTAGAAAGTTTACGAAGTTTGGATGCCATTCTATTATTTATACACGTCTCTGGTTCTATCAAACTTTGTACAGCATGCTGCCATAACATTACGTGATCTAATTCCATGCGACGCTTTGTAAAGTGTATTTAAGTATATGTCTTAAAACATTTTCTTGAGCAATGCCTCTATTAAAAATGGACCCAAAATTATGGGTGTTTTCATTTTTGGTCGCAAAATCAATTATTTGGTCGCATATGCGACCATTTTAGTCGCAACTTGGAGCACTGGTGGTTAGAGCATTTGCTTTAAAGTAGCAGTGTAAAGATTCAGTTTTATTGTCACAGGATTGAATGCACTGTGTGACATGGTGATCTCACCTGTGGAAGAGACCGAATAAACTGAGGTCCTAGCAATGCATCTTTTACCCAAATTATGGGTATAATTCCCAGCTGAAAAGATATACAATTACCCTGTATAAAAGGATCAATTAAGTCTTCCCTTCCTTTCAGAGCCTTACCTTCTTCACTTTCTGGAAATAAAGCTCAGGGAAACAATGGATCCAGTAGGAAATTTGCATGATGAAGAAAAACTTCACAATGAACCTGTGAACAATAAAAGTTTATTTTTAAACATTTTCAGTCGTGTATAAACAACCAATTTACATTCTTATCTTAATTTCTTGCAGTAAATATTTTTAATATTGATTCTCTTATTTTTTTCCTGTATACCAAAACAATTACACAGAAGAGTTTTTTTTTTTTACCAACTACTGCAAAAAGCAGACTTACGACAGCTCACTATGTGGGTAATTTTCCCAAAGCTGGTTAATATTCACAAAACCTTCCTGCAAAGCCAAAAGTCAAAATATTTAGCAACAATGAAGTAATAATGCAGAAAACTGGGTTCTCACTTACATTAAATACATACAAGTAATTAGAATGTCTCTATACACACCTTGATGATGATGTCAGCGCCCCACACAGCAGAAGCTCCATAAAACGCCAGTAACTGTCCAGACTCATTAAACTTGCTGTGCTTTACTTTAGACAAATGCATTTTCCTGTTCAGTTTCTGTATAATTAAAACAAAAAAAAAATGATATGAGACTATTTCCTTCCATACACTGATGTAAATCAACTTCTTCAAACAGTGGTCTATTGAAAGAAAAGTTATGAGGTACATGCTGGACATAAATTTATTTCCATTGTAAGCATATGCGCTGAGCTTTAATATCAAATTAAAGGTTACTTTAACTCAGCTAATTAAACCCTTCAAAAAAAAAACTTCTTTTGTTTTCAGTCTCACTTTTACAGAAGAAATATATGTTTAAAAAGTGAGACTAAGATTGAAATTGTGCTTGTCTAAGTTTTATGACCAGAGAATCTGAAGTGAAATTTGCCACCCTATATTACAAATAATGACAATACTCTAAACAGTCTTCCTACAGATGTGATTTACTTCCTATGATACTGTGTATGTGATTGAGACACTTACATCCAGAATGTACTCCTGGATGACTGCGTGGACCACGATACAGATGAGGAGGTAGAAGAAGACACAGAAGAGGTCCTTCAGTCCCACCATGTAGCTGGTCACCTCCTCCCCAGTGTCTGTTAAAAATACAAACAGAAATCAATTTCAAGGCTTAGTTTGAACTCTTGAACAAAATGACTATATGTATTGTATTTCTAGGCATATGCTTTTAATTAGATTCCTAACCTAGCTTACAAGTAGTAAAAATCACCCTTTGACATAAGAGTGATGCTAAATCTCAGGAAAAGTAAGGAATATTGAATTCCTCAATTATATTTTAGAAAAACTAAATATATCATTTAATAAATTATAGAAATTTAGTTCCATTGTAAGATTAACTTTTCTGATTTATATAAATTAAAAGAATATATTGCAAAACAGTAATAGACATCAGATGCACAATTTTAGCTCTAAAAAAACAATAATAATCAATGTACCATCAGGAATGGAAATACTATAGTAAAGTACATGTATAGACTTAAAATAACCTACCATTATTAGTTTTAGTGACATTGTTCTGTAGTGTCACAAAGAGAGATGCCACTGGAGCTGTTGCCTGAAAAATAATTTCGTTCAAAATAAAATTTTATTCAAATCATGGTATAAAGATAATATTCTAAAATTTCTATTTGTGTAGTTCTATTTGGAAACTATTTTCCATTCAAAATATAAATGAATATATATAAAACATGCCTTTATATATTAGGAGCTTGTAATACAATTAGAAACACTATTTTTGAGACAATATGCCAAAGCATAGATGTATTTTGTAATTTTGCAAAAATTACCAGATACACTGGTTTTAACCATGTTAATTTTATTGTCCTGTCTGATTTCAATCAAGCTAAATGTCTGTGTATGCCATTTAATTTATTTATTTCCTTTAAAAACTATGCAGACAGATCTTTCACATTTAAAATCCCTGCCACGTCATTCTCATATAATTATCTACTTTCACGTTCATTTATCTATAATTACATTACAGCATCTTTTAAAAATCATGCTTTATACAAAAATTCAGTAAAGGTTATTTGAAAACTCCAATATTTGCATCGATAGTGAAACGAAGTGATAAACATATGGTACAGCCACGCACTGTCACAATATTACGATACCTGAAACATTAGTCCTATGACAAAAACCATGGCCACACATGACACAATGTCTGCGTGATTCTGGATGAAAAACTCATGACTGAACACCGGAGGGTTCTTTGTGCTTCTTGGTCTTCGCATTCCCATCTTCTCAGCAGCTTGACTCGTGAAGTCGATGTGGCGATAAAAGGCCGGCGTTATGAAAGGAAGTTGACGGCGTTATTCCCACAATGCATTGCTATACTTGTTGTCAAATGTCACGTGATAGGGTTTCGTGTCATTTTTAAAAGTTTCAGTGCCTAAAGTTATAGATACATGACCCATAACTCAAACGTGTGATTTGATCATATCTAAAATGATATCAGTAATTCATTACAATACTCTCATTCATGAAATGGATAACACGGAAGTAAATGTTTTCATCGTCCAATCAAAAACCTCGTGGCTAATATTATTTGGGCGGGAAAATTTTGATGAAGAACTAGTAAACATAAATGTAACTTTCAAGAACACGTGTCATCAAAAGGTATTTAACACACAAGTATGTGCAATTTAGAGTTTGTTCTAGTTAATGGTAAAACCTGAGTTAAAGCCCATAGAATAGGCATCAGAAATAATTAAGGGGGATGTACGGCCACCTTTAGTGCTGTGAGAACAAAATGTAAACATATCTTCAAATGGCTAAAATACATCATATTTTGATCAAATTTTAAGTCCTTATGATAAAGATACAATAAATATGCATAACTCAATGCATGTTGTGCATATATAATCTATACTTTTGCAGAAAAATGCTTTTGATATGCTCCTTAGAACTGCGCAGCTACAGAATTCAGCAGAGCCTTAAAAAATTCAAAAAAATATGCAAACTGTGCATCAATGTTCTCTCTACAACCATTTGTTGAGAAAATGTCAAATTTTGCACTTTTAAATGATAATTTCAAGTTCAAAACAAGGTATCGTTGTCTTCAAAAAGAGTTTAAAGAACCATGAAAGTAGTTCATGCATAGCAGCACGTGGTCTATTTTTAGCACAGAATTTTGTTTTCCAGACCTCTTCTTAATATGGAGGGACATAACAATCTTTAAATGTAGAAGAGAATTACAGTTGCAAAATATTTCAAATAGTATGAACACTTTTAAAAGAGGAAATGTGTTATAGTATGGCTTGAAGTAATTTATTTAGTATTATTATCGAACAGTTGTTAAATAATGTACTTATTGATATCAAAGAAAAAAATCTTAAACTCTTTGATTCCAGGTAAGGAAAATGTGCACCATCAAAGTTAAGAATTAAGAGTTTGTAAGTTTGCCACAGATAACATATAATATATATCAAAATTTTAATTATCACCAATGAAACACAAAGAAATTAAACACATAAAATCGATATGAATGACCTTGATTTAGTACCTACTTGTACGAGGGGTGATCAAAAAGTTCGCGAACTATCTCTATATCTACAAAACCACAATTCAGATTAGAAACAAATTTGGTGCACACATAGCCAAACACAAGTTCTATAAAATAGCATATGCTGAATAAAGTTTTGCTCATAATGACGTCATTATGCAGGTACTTGTGACGAAAAATGGTTGCCTCAGTGGAACTCGTTTAACAAACGACTAAAATATTTATGATATATCTTAAAAATGCCTTTGAAGTAGCATATAAGAATTTGTTCATAGTTTATTAAGACAAATGACTTCCTACAAATTCAATCAATGATTGGATAGATCGTTTTAGTGAAGGAAGGCAGATGGTTAAATATGATACTTGTTATATTGCCCAGTGATATATTAGCAAGTTTGAAAAGGGATGTGTTTTTAATTAAGCAATATATGCTATCAAAGACCTCCAATTTACACTTTGAAAAATACTTGAATATTTCAACAATAATATAACTATCAAATACCTAAGATATATCGTTTACTTTTTGATCTACCCTCGTATACTCTGTCAAATAAACATTTACAATTTTGATTTTAGCGGAGCAACATTTGAAAAGGAATGAAATCATTCAGAGTGGGTTAGGAGATTTAATAATATTTTTCTATTTGCCCTTTTTGAAAAAATTACAATTTTACAGAGTAAAGAAAAAAATCAACATTAATAAATATTTTATACCATCTTTAAAATGACGTTTGGTGGTCCTCCCAACTCAGGGAAAAATTATTGGGTCCGTATTTATAGGTGAGAAAAAAATTTCTAAAATTTTAAACATATTCGTTGACGGAAGAAAAAAAAAACATGTAATGGGATGTAAAAAAAAATGAGTCGGGCCATTTCTATGCAGTAGATCGGGAGAGAGGGCAACCAAATATTTTTATAACAAATTGTCTTATAAGGCTAGTACATTTTACATTTTCCATCACATACTTAGTAATGCAAAATTTTTTAATCTTTGGCATTATTTTGAAAAACAAACATAGGATTTTTTTTTGAGGGGGGGGGGGGGGTAGCCTCTCATTTTTTTTTTGTGTGATAGACATAGCATATGCAATGGACTTTTCTTCGCAAACATTGTGCTTGCTTCTAAATTTCAAAGAAACAACTCAGTATATTTTATCAAGCTTCGTATGTTCAATGAGCGAGAGCTTACAATGTTGTCAACATAATGAGACATGATGCGTTTTTATGTCCAAACATTACTCCATACAATGTGTGGTTCATTGCAAACAATCTAGCTATTTATGTGAGGTGCCTGAAGGAAATCCTATAACTGCCTATTTTTTCTATCTAAGTGCTAAACAAAATAGACACATGTACCAACTTTTCGAATGTAAGACATGTAATTACAATTTGTTTTTCATGCACCGCATATTGTTTAACATTTTCAAATTAAATGCTAAGCATCCTCCTTGCAGTGCCCCATTTGAAAATAACTTCTATCGCCACAAAAAAAGACCCGCCGTAATCACATATATTTAGGACATGTTTTATCTTTTTTCTTGAGTTTTAATGAAACCAACAAATCATCAAGACTTGTTCCATGAAAAATTAAATATAATCATGGTAATAAACTCATCTATCCACAGCAGATATATGCACATGCCAACCACGTGCTCAGTGGAATGATATTATCGAGGAAACTCGAGCTGTAAACAGAACAGTTTTTCCCGATTTGCTGGAGTGTAGGGCTGGATCAATATATCGGTAATCGGTATATATCGATATTTATTAGCAATACGATAACCGATACAGAGATGGCGTATTGCTTGATTATTTCAACGTTTAATTAAGAGAAAGAAAAACGTGAAAGTGACTAATATTACGAACGACTTATCTAAAATCGGTTAAACGCATGTAAACATGTCAAAAGTGTAGGGTCGCTACGTAAAAGTCAGCAGCAAAAAGGCAAAATGTAATTATATTTGTCAACAAGAAGTCGCAAGTTCTGGCGGAAAACGAGCCTATATATTATTACCCATCTCAGACGGCATCGCAACATTGACCTGTTTGCTACTGTGAAACTTGGAGGCAATTCCGGTAGGTAAAATGGCGCGTCGAAAAAAAAGTCATGGAATGTAAACCGATAATAAGACATCAATCAGAATTTTTAAGTCATATTTTATTTGAACTCAAAGCAATTTGGTAAAATATTTTATTTGCCATTACTTCCACGAATACGACGTCAAGTGAAGTATCAACACAGTCAACCAGGTCAATGTTGTGATGTCGTCTGAGGCTTCAGATATTATCGAGGAAACTCGAGCTGTAAACAGAACAGTTTTTCCCGATTTGCTGGAGTGTAGGGCTGGATCAATATATCGGTAATCGGTATATATCGATATTTATTAGCAATACGATAACCGATACAGAGATGCCTGCGTATTGCTTGATTATTTCAACGTTTAATTAAGAGAAAGAAAAACGTGAAAGTGACTAATATTACGAACGACTTATCTAAAATCGGTTAAACGCATGTAAACATGTCAAAAGTGTAGGGTCGCTACGTAAAAGTCAGCAGCAAAAAGGCAAAATGTAATTATATTTGTCAACAAGAAGTCGCAAGTTCTGGCGGAACAACGAGCCTATATATTATTACCCATCTCAGACGGCATCGCAACATTGACCTGTTTGCTACTGTGAAACTTGGAGGCAATTCCGGTAGGTAAAATGGCGCGTCTCATGGAATGTAAACCGATAATAAGACATCAATCAGAATTTTTAAGTCATATTTTATTTGAACTCAAAGCAATTTGGTAAAATATTTTATTTGCCATTACTTCCACGAATACGACGTCAAGTGAAGTATCAACACAGTCAACCAGGTCAATGTTGTGATGTCGTCTGAGGCTTCAGATCGAGTATTTAGCACCAGTGGCAACATATTTACATGCACAAGGGCTTGTCTGAAACATATGTGGATCGATGCCTTAATTTTTCTGAAGAAAAATATGGGCAAATAACATTAATCTGTCATACACTTGTCCAAAGAGAATTAAAAAAAAAACAAGGATTTAAAATGTTTTATTATTGTAAATTCATGCTTTAATAAAAAAAACACTATCACCTCTTTAAAACAACATGCAAACAATAGTGTATTCTCATTTGTATGTATCGGCAATATGTATCCCATATCGCACCTCTGTATTGCAATATGTATTGTATCGAAAAATTTCTTTCAATACCCAGCCCTACTGGAGTGGGGTTAAAATCGCTTTTTTTTCATTAATCAGACGATGCAATGCAACAAATAAAAGTAGTAAGTAATATAACCTAATGATTATTACTTAGTAATTTCTTGTCTTGATGTTATTATGGTCGCATTTATTATAAAACCAATGCTATTCGAACTCTGTGTGACAGAGGAATGGCGGACGAAATAAACACATGGCCTCAGGAAGACACCCATATGAAAAATCAAATTTTCAAGAATTATGGATAATGACAAGAAAAACGCGAAACAAATGGTTGTAGCCATATTATCAATGAATCAAACTAACATTATATTCAATGCATTTTTCATCTCGTGAATGCTGTAGCTGCGCAGTTCTAACATGATTAATTTCCTCCTAATTAAAACAAAATAAACTTAATTATTAACTGATTTTGGTCTCTAATAGTAGGTAATTAGTGCATTAGCACTTTGAGTAACTTTGGGCTAGTTTAGTAGAGTATTCTTGGTATTTCTTATTTTACACCAGACTAGATCCAATATGGCTTGTACATCCCCCTTAAAGGGGCTAAACCAACAAAAAACGTTCAAGTGGGGGGGGGGGGGGCTAAATTTCAATGCCTATTT